ATCAACCGAATTACAAGGTGAAAACTTAACCATACATTTTATAAATAAAATACTCATATCATATAGTTTCTACCATGTATTTTCCTAGCTGTGGAAACGTAAAACATACACATTTTTCTAAACTCAAATAAAAAAAAACAATAAAAAAACAAAAACTGTTTGCGAACATGTCATACCGAGTAAACCGTCAGTCCCCGTGCTGTTTACAATTAGTCGTGAGGTGTTGTCGTCCAACGAGAACAGTTTAAACAAAACAGAGTAGAATCGTCTGTTTGTTTCTAAATGTTCACCACGGTTGTGTTATAGATGTAACTTTTGTAACAGAAATTATGTGAACATATATGGGTGGAGAGTAGTTATTGTTTGAATATAAAATATTGGTTGATAAAAAATTACTAAAAATAGTGGGGGGTTTTATGGGATTTATTTATTTATTTATTTATCCATATACGGTAAACACCATTTTACATTGAACATACATTGCAATTTTTTACAGATGGCCAAAAAAGAGATCTACTACTAAAAAGATCAGCTAACTACTACCTACACTTAGTGTGGATTGGTTTTGGAATTGGGTTGGTTTTCTCAATTTTTACCCTCAAAACACCAAGTTTTCCAATTTTTCTTTAGACCATTATGGAGAGCTTAAAAACAAATAATTTAGTACATGAAAGAGTTTTTTTTACGGTTTGGCTACATAAAAAAAAACTGTAAATTTAAAATTTTCATGTTTATTCTTGTGGAGAATATCGTAAAATGTTGTAATTTGCTTGTTTATAGGTATATTTTGATCTAGCTTAGAAAATTTATTCATTTCGCTCTAAGCTAATGATATTTATTAGCTTCCCTTTTGCAGCAAACCTAGGTACTTAATAAACATAATGTTATTTAAATAGATTTAATTTTTTGATATTAAATATATTGTTTATCAATTCTGGCAAATAGAAATTCGCTTAGTCTGCAGGTTTTCTGTGGCGGGGCTATTATTATTAAACAATTGATGTCAACATCTGGAATTATTATTATGAACACTTACTTTTGTCATTGTGTTAATAAAAAACTGAGAAGAGAAGATAAAAAATATTTAAAATTGAAGAAGAAGAAGGCAATGTAAAATGGCCCCAAACAAGTTTCACGGGTGGATTTAAATCTGTTTCCTGTCAGGTAGAATTATTTTGCAATTTACTGTAGAACGTTTTCGAAGAACCTCATCTGCAAAATTTCCTTTTTTATGAACGTTATAACATCTACTCAACATTTCATGTGTTCTACAAAAGGGTTTGAGTTTTTTGAGTTGTTATTGAATAAGCTTTTCACATAAACAAAATATTTTCTGTGTCATATATGCTCTACAATACACACTAAAGATTATTATCTTTTATATTATATATTCATTTAAGTTCATTTATATACATATTTTTTATCTCCTTGACCTTAGTACCTTAGTAAATTAAGTTAGGTTAAAATTTGTCTTTCTTCTAATTAAAAGATTTTACAAATAGTTATTTTGTTGTTATTAAGGTTTAGATTAAGAATAAGCCATGAAAAAATAAGTGATCATTAATTACTGTAATATAATTATACAATTACCTCGTCACAGCTCTGAAGTCTCCGTATGTTACGGCCGTTTCGGCATCAAAATTCCATCCAAAGATATATCCACTAGATTTAGCTTCGTCAAACTTTACACGCACATTAAACACGAAAAAAAATTAAAACATATTCAACAACAACCTATGCGTGACACGCCTGTCTCTTGTTTTATATGTTTTAATTTTTCTCGTATTTTTATATTATTATATTATAGTCATCAATTCAGTCAGTCGTTAAATCATGCCTATTGATCATTAATTATTGATTTGTATAAATATATTTGATGGATGATTATAATGCTGCAGCTGTGTTATTGGTTTAACAGTTTTGTTTGAACGAGCTCGTCTTAAATGTCAGATCATACAAACGTCACAACAAACGTTTTTATGAACGTTAGTAACAAAAGCAGGCTTTGGATAGTTTCTAACAAAAAACGAAAAAAACATGTCATCCATATAGAAATCGACCCATGGTTCTTTGGCGTGTTTTAAAATTTTAAAAATTAAATCTCCTTTATGGATTTTTATTGAATTTTAATTTTTATTCCTTATTATATTATTGGAATTAAAATGTACATGCAACAGTGAAATGTTTCGTAAATACGTCAAATACTACATTAATGTTATTAAAGTGATTATCAACGTAAGTTTTCCTTGACCTATGATAGAGAAAAGTCCAAAATAGAGTCGATACAAAGCTGGATCGACCTTCTGAATCATTTCAATGAGTTATTCTGATTTTGAAAAGTGTTCAGAAACGATTTATGAGTTCTGCTGTTGCTAGGGGCAACCTTGAATGCTTCCGAATCACATGTTTTCATGGTCCACTGATTTTATGACGTCATAATTTCTATACATGAATATAAATTTATCGGTTGCTCAATACATTGAATATTAAATAGCGAGGTTTTATAATGTGTTTCCTTTATGTCCTGTTTATTACAGTTTATCCAACATTATTTGTGTAAAATATAAATATGTTTTGTTTATTACTTGTTTACAGCTGTGGATAGTGGCAATGGCGATATGTTGACACGTTAAGCAACCCAAACATAGTACAGGGTACAGTGGTAATAGGCTCTGAACAGTTGTTAGGGGAGAACCGGTCGAGGGTTCAAATCTCAGTAAATAAAATACCTTGTATGCCATTTGATGATATCAGAACCATATGGCTCAAATGCAGAGAGACTATTCAAAAAAATCATCGGATTTTATAATGGCAAAAGCATTCAATCCGTATCAGAAAACCTTTCCTTATTTGGCATTATCTTGTTTGTAAACCTTATTTTTAATAGACAACACAACTTAAAAAAAAAAAACACTTTGTATGCATTTTGATAAACAAAAGTAATGCTTACAGCATTAAATATAGGGTTATTTGTAACTGGACTTCATAATAGAAGTGACGCGATATACGCCTACACTATGTTGAACTCCCATTTAGCATATAAAAATACTCTCAATGTTCATACGGTTGTTATAACAAATTTATAATTACTTTACTTTGTTTGGTTCAAATGTTTAATTTAAGTTATTCGTAACATTTTATGTGAAAATCATAAGGCAAATTTATTTTTGATCACTAACAACACTTACCGTAAATCGTTCAACAGTCATGGGAGTGAAGAAAACAAAGGAAACAACCAAAATGGTGAGATAAGTAAAATTGTTTTTGAGGAATCAGCTGTTTCGCAAAATAACTTTAGTGAACACACAGCTTTGAATGAAACTGAAGACAAGCATTTCATTATTCAACTTTACTATCGTTAGTAAAATTTTAATGTCTGCATCATGATCGAGATTTAGTTTTTAAATAACGACTACTTACAATTCTATCTCACTCCAAAAGTTATTTATGTCCCATGATTATTTTATTGAGTAAGAGACAAAATTCAATTTGAACGTACGTCATAACATTGAACGAAACTGGCTTTACCATCTCCCTTTACTGTTATGGAAAATGTAAACCCAAATAGAACTTTACTGATGCTTGGCTGCATTGACGATCCTTCGTGTACGTACTTAGAATTTATCATCCTTCCACCATTATTTGTTGTACTTAGTTAACATGAGTAAACGGTCACGCGCTGTTTTTGTATAGCTTATTTTACATATAATCTTTGAATAATAACTCACAGTACCATAATAAAAAATGATAACAAATTATAACTCTGTATTGATAAATTGTGAGTCATAGCCTTTTTGTTTGTGGATATTTTTAAATGTAGATGATACAATTGTGCTCTGATATTTAAGGCGATAACTTATTAATACCATTTTCTTTTTCTTTAAACGTAAGCTGGTTTTGATTTCGGACATAAATCTTGTTTTAATAGGTACCTATTATTGTAGATAAACAACTTTTTGTTTTGTATTAGCAAGGATAACCTAAAAATAACTTGGTATAATATAACATGTAAATATACTTAAATGTGTCAAGTATTGCATAATATCTTGATTAACCATCAACTATGAAAGATTGAGTATGAAAATCTCAGGTAAAACTCTTTGACAAAAGTTTTTCCCAATTTACAACATCGTAAAAAACCCTCACTAAAATATATACCAAGTTATTGAAACCTAGCGGTATAAAATTTTCGATCTTAATACCACAGCGATTCTTTTAATGTTAGTGAAATGCTATTTCGATAGGTATGTGGCATTTGGCATGTAGATAATATTAAAAATTAATCGAGTAACACAATTTTAGGTACCTGAATTAAGCCGGAAAACTCTTTTTGACAATACAATTTACTAAAATTGTTTTACTAAATAACCTACAGCAAAATTTGTAAAATTGTTTCTGGTTAGTAATAGTGGTAATAGTGCTCGCCTTCAAATCTAAAAATCACTAGTTCGATTCTAAGCGAATAAGTTGGTTTCCAGACCAAGATACAATTTTTTTCATTGGGCTTTGGGGTTTGGACCGTGCAATTCCAAAGCTAAAAAAAATATTAGCGTAGAAAAGAGAAACCCAAAGACAAAACTGCAAAATGAAGATGAAGGGTATACCTTTAGGTGGTGTTTGTGAAAAAAATAATTTTAACAAATAATGTACGCATTCTACTTCATTTTACTAAAAAAATTTCCTTTCACACAACCAATTCATCGCATTGCTTTTATTTTATAATTAAGTACTATGACATAATCTTAGCTGTAACGTTTTCAGTAAGACAAAATTGTTCACCAAATCCTGCATTAGACTTGCGAATCCACATTGTTAAATATTTTCCGCTTTCTCCGTAAATAGAAGCGGCTGGCTCCAACGGGCAAAACTCCAATGTATTATTTATCTAAGTCTGGGCAGGGTTGAGGGAGGGACATGCGCCCTATCGGGGGTGTTAGATGTAGGGAGGGGTGAGTTGTCATTGCTAGGTGTACCTCCGCTTAGTAGTTGCCGCGGTCAACGCTGTAATGGCGGGCGAATTCTCGCGCGAGTTGTAAAGTGCCGGTTTAAAATGTGGTTTTGCAAAACGGATATCTTTACATAGGTAGGTGGTTATTAAATGACATTTTAATGCACAAGTTTTAAATATTTATTTTTTATTTTTTAAATATTGTACGTGTTAGTATACATAAATTTAAAAAAATACAATAGGAAGTCAATATTACCTAAATGTAGACTGTTAGGTAAATTAAGCCCTATTAGGTTAAAGCTTAAAATTTAGGACGCGTTTAAAACTAAGACTTTGAATATTCTAAATATATGATACTATAATCTTAAATACTTGTTAATGATTCTGTACTTATGTGGAATTACTTTTAAATCTTTGGCAATATAACATTGTTCCATATCTATTTTACATATATTGCATATAACCATTGTTCAATAATAATTTAAAGATCATATCCGTAACCTACAAAGTAAATAAAGTACACTTATTACATTTATTTCAGAGCTAATGCAAGGCTAAATGTTTTACACATATAGGTTAGTCATTTAAATATGGTTTACAGTTTTACAGTGCAATGACACATTTTTGAAAAAAAATTATAAAATTAAAAATATTTGTTATTTAAAATAGTAAGACGAAAAGAAAAAGTACTTGAAATGTTATATAGTGTAATGCAGATTTATTAACCTGTAAAATTAACAGTTTGTTAATCATTATAACAACTAAGATTTTTATTACTAAAATCAAAATTAAGAGGTTAGAAAATAATTAGGGTTCAATTAAAATTTTCCCGCCTATGGAGTAGCCTACTGATATGTATATTAGAATTTATGACTACCTGAAAATAATGTATTGAGTATTTAATTATAAAAAAAGTTATTTGCAGTACATCATATTCTTTATATTGTTTGCTTAGGCCGTACTCGAACTATAAAAAGGGCTAACAATTTCCCTATACCTTCAATACATAAAAAATAACATTGAATCTCACAAAAAACACTCAAAGCTCAAAGCGATTAAAGTGACCTATTTAAACCCCTTTTGGTTCATTTTAAACACGTAATTTATTGTTCCGCCTTTTAGATTGTTAAATCATATTTACACGATATTTAATAAAAACATAATATGATCTGTTAAAATCTCTATTTATTTATGTTTATAGAAAAACCCTTTTCTGCTAATCAATCAACAATGACATTTTCCAAGAAGAAGCAGTGACTTCATAAACTTAATTACAAAAACGTCATTCAACTTTAAATCATCTACGTAGTAATTTGCGGAAAGTTATTTAACTAAAATATTTTAGATAAAGGAGTTCTGTGTTAAAAGTAGTTGTATAAATAACAAAATACATGATATTTAAATAAAATGAAAATTAATACACGATATTTTAATACAATTACTTTTCGAGGAGATGTGTTAAAAATAGTTTAATTCAAAATGGTCAAAGCCTGAAATGAATGCATAACTCACAATGAACACACAAACACTTAAAGATCAAAGCGATTAAAGTGACCTATTTAAAACCCTTTTGGTTGATTTTAAACACGTAATTTATTGTTCCGCTTTTAGATTGTTAAATTATATTTACACAAGTTTAGAGCATGCATTTATATTGATTTTATCTTTATGACCTTTAAATTCAATCCATTTATATTACAAAACCATTTAACAATGAAAGCTTATATAATAAAGTGCAAGTTGTGTTATTTATAAGTTTTTAATAATTTGTTCTAAATCACTTATCAAAAAATGTAATGTAAATTAAAACGTAATCTCAGTTTTTGTATTGCTTTAATTACTGATTCGAAATCGATAGCAATTATCATAATTTCCCTGTTTTCCCTGGAATGCAATCTATTTCATATATTTACTGCACCAACGACACATGCACCCTTATAGGTTTTAAAAGTAAAGGTTTCTAAAGGTTTTAGGAGTATTGAGCTCCATTCTATTAAATACTCTTTCTAGGAAGGGTGTACAAAAAAGTTCCTTTTCAAACTTTACAGAATCAGGTTTGTAAACCAGTAAAGGTCTTCAAAGTGGTTACTAGGAATATAATGTCGTTTATGTATTTTATGATCTTCTCCTTGTAAAAATATTAAGCGTTCTAAGTTGATTACAGTAAAAATGAATTTGGATTAATATTTTGCACGTTGAAAATTGAGAGGTATTTGTTAAAAAATAAGCTATAAACTGCTAATTCTTTCGGGTGGGCATTAATTGCGCCAATTGGCCTGAGATAGGTAGTCGGGGATTCCTGAATTAGGACATCTACTCCAGGGAGCCACCCGATAAGTTTTCAAAGCCAAGTGGCGGCCCTCTTTGACTGTATAATTGAGTAAGTTAAGATTAAGTTAGGTTAGGTTAGGTTAGGATTACACGAAAACAAGGACATTCCTTCTACCGGCAACTCACCCTTACCTAACTTGGGCTTGGCGCAATTAAGGAACATATTTGGGCCCTTTGAGGTCTTGGCACAATTAGGGAAATCTTTGGAGCAATTAATGCACAACCATTTATTCGGATCCCTCAGGTAGTACTGGCAGATCAATTGTCAACAGTGTAATGAAGGAGTAATTGGTTTTTATTATTATTGGGACTGTTGAAGCCTCTTGACCATTTCTTTATCTTTTCTAGCTCTCATAGCCTCTCATAGTAATTGTCCATTCCTGAGAACTTAAATCCCACTTAGAGAAATTACATCTTATTGATCTTACATATAAAATAATTGGATGAATATTAAATGAGATCTGTCTTGCTTATAATATTACAGGGCATCTTTTTCAACGCAATCATCCATCTGTAGTACTCTATATCTATATCCAATATTAAAAATAAACAGAAACTTAGTAGAGAATCAATACTGAGACTGGACGTTTGTTGGGATTTATTAATAGGTGGAAATAACAATAATATGTGATACAAAAAATTAGGAAAATCAGGTAGGGGAAGAAGTTCCCAATCAGTCGTATCTGAGGTTTTAAAACTGATCAGGTAAATTTCTGCCGTATTCAACCCACCAGTTACATATACCCTACATTACCCCCCCCCCCCCTTCTCTACATTACGGACAATTCATGTTAGCAATGAAGAGTTAAGAGGATTGTGTATATTGCCTTTGGATCTCATTAAATGTTAAAATATGTTTTATAATAGTAAAAATTTATCTTTTTTTAAAAATTTGCATTTGATGTCAAATAAAAAAAACTGCTTCGTATATATCAGAGTAGTTGGCTCCTTTGGACTAAACAAACCAAGTTAGTCTTTGTTTTTAATTCCAGTGACACTACCTAATTAAATATTTATTAGCATAGACCATTATTTTAATGTACTTTATTCCTATTCCTATTCTTGATACGTTGCATGCCATTGTGATCTATGTGTAAGGGAAATGCAAGGTTGAAATAGGCAGTTAACCTGTTATATAAATAAAAATGTGTGCAAAAAACTAATTACCTAGGTTTCTAAATTTGGATTCAATTACCCAATTTTTGAAAAATTAATTGACGTTTAACATGTAACTCATCTTAATAGTATACAATACAATATTTTGATATCTAAGTAATTAGGTAGTGTATAATATATGTGCTTAAGAGATTTATTTGTAATTGGCGAATAATATGAACGATATAAATAGAATATATTTTAAATATGTAATATCTGGTTCATTCAAAAGCAACTATACGGCCTTTATCAACCTATTGAGGGACAAATATAATACCAATATTGCTATTAGGTTTAAAAATAAAATTTCAATGGTATCCATCCGAATAAAATATTTTCATTCTTTAGTTTTTTTTCTAATGGCCGTATTTATTTGGTAGTAACAGTTACTTCTTATTTTGTGTTAGGATCAAACGAATGATCTTTGTACGGTCACTGTGCCTGCTTTTCAAATACTAATCCACAGTTAAAACAACAAAACCAAAGAGTAACTGTAAGACTTAAAAAAATCAGTTTAAAGACCTCGAAATCCGATTTTATAAAATAGTAAATAAATAGTTAATGATCGTGTGTAAACAGCAATACAATGTGTTATGATTTCTTGTGCCTCTTTTGAACAGTCCACATAGTGTGTCAATCTCAATAACTTTAATTAAGCTTTTCACAGTGTCCTTGAAAGTTTGAGGAAAGAGAGTGTTTCGAAGTTAAACAATGAGGGTTCTTTTACAGCTCCGCCAACGTGTGTTCAAGTCAGAAGGTAAAAGTCAAACAAACTTTGAGTGAATGAACCGCACTGTATTTACAAAGCCGTATAGCTTCTATCAAACCTTCAACTTAATCCCCTTCAATATATCGAGTCTTAATTTGAATTGCTCTCCAAGGAAGTTTGTTTAATTTAAATTCCTCCATTTATTTGCATGTGGCTGTGTAACCTTAAAATATAAATAATCTTATTCTGAACAGTGGATTAAAATATTTGTTTATTGATAAGCTAAGTATATAAAATATTTTCAGGATATTTCTAAATTCTTAATTATTGAAAATCTTTAAAGAATTATGTTGTATTCCTTAAGGCAAAGCTGTTGACATTTTCAAGCAATGGTAACAAGGACATGATAAGTGTTTCAATTTGTCTTGTATTCTGAAATTCTTAGTTTAACTCAGTATTTCTGTCTTTCATCTATATAATTTGTTTTTCGTTTTAGTTTTATCCATGTTTAATTGAAATTTTAATTTACAATATGTATATTTTCACCGAAACTATCGAAGCTTTAAAAGGCACACTATGCAATAATATTTATTAAATAACTGTTGTTTTATTGAAAAATATTGACTAAATGCTATTTTAAAATAAAACCTAAAATCCAAGAATTGCACTTTGGCATTCTGAGCTAAAACTAACATATCTGAAGAAATTTTGACCCAAGGATCTTTAATTGGATATATTTTACGTTGGCATACACAGATATTAAATGCAACTATAAATCTCTTCATTTAAAAAAAAAATGATAGATTTACAAATAACCTAACGTAAAATTCAAAACCCTTACCTATGGATTAGTATTAACAATAGATATTTTCCACCAAACACTAGCTTGGCTTAAAGGATTTCCTAGAAGCAATTGATGATCATTATTGGTCAGAGGCTAAAGAGGATCGTTATTTGAACTAATCCAGGATTTCTGCTCCTTCTCAGGTGTTGAGCTGGTCTAGAGGATTATGGGAGCTGCTATCACTAATCCTTTTCCAATAGAATAACTAATGGCTTTCTTTGGTTTCAATATGAGAATACTTCAACGTACATTCGAGCATTTTTTTGGAATGATATCAGTTTCCCTTTTAGTTATATTTTTAAGTACCTCTTTATTAAACGTGTATAAATGGTAAAATAAGTTCAATGTCATTATTTTATATTCATTAAAATATGATACTTAAAAATACAATAGGCAAAAAGGACCCTTTAAGATTTAACTGAATACACAATTACTGCACTTAACTATGCTATGAAATTGCTGTATTGTATTAAGACTATTGCTTTTTAAAACGTAAATGAAGATAAATATGCCCATGTGAAAAACATGTAATTAAATTTAAAAATTTAAAATGGAACTAAACTTAAAATTGATAATTTTAATATAATGCCTTGAGTTGTTTAACATAATTCATAATAATATAATATTCATAAACATCTGAAGATATTATAATTAACTTTGTTATTGAATACTTTATAAAGGGTGGAATGGAACTTGGTACACTGAAATGTATACATGAATCAACTTAACAAAGAAATCAGAGATTTTCTCAAATATTACAGAAAACAATCACAAAACTTACAAACAGACTTAAGACTTTCAGCAGAAATATGATGTTGAAGCAAATATTAGGGCAGGCCTTAACTAATGCAATAAAATATATGGAATAAAGGATACTGTTTGGTTAGGTTAGTTCAATCGAAACAGTAAAACACTTTACATTCCATCCTACCAAATATCCATAAACTCATGGTCAATTGGAATAAGTTAAGTAGCTGTTTATTTCATTAGCTCTTTAAGTTATGTAATGAAAGGTTTGAGGCACTAAGAACAAAACTAGTGCAGCAAACCAATTTAATAAAAGAAATAAATCATTTTAATATTAAATTATTTTAAAATTACATTAATTGAAAGTTAAATAATTTTAAAATTTAATTTATTTTAAAATGAAATAATTTTAAAATTAAATTTTTTAAACATTAAAATATTTTAAAATAAAATTATTTTAAAATTATTTAATGTTTAAATAATTTTAAAATTAAATTATTTAAACATTAAAATATTTTAAAATAAAATTATTTTTAAATTAAATTGTATTAAAATAAAATTATTTTAAAATTAAACTATTTTCAATTTAATATTATTATTATTTTAAAACCCTTTAAACTAGACTCCAAGCACTGGCTGAAATGTAAATATTTACAGTAACTTAACACTGTTTGCACTCCAATCAAGCAGAACCACACTGGAAAGGTAGAGCATCTAAGGCAAATGTTTACACATCTCAACTTCGGGTATTGGCAAAGTTCTGTAGCATGTAAGGTAACAGAAATATTCTCTGTGACACATGGAAAGGAAAATTCTCATTTCTTTTTAGGGCGTGTTTCTTTTTTATATTAATATTGTAAATGTTTTTACGCAGATTTTTGGTAGTTATTAACTTTAGTTGTTATTTTCTTACTACTTTTTATGTTATGAATGTAATATGTATGACTTATTTGTTTAGTTCAGTGTTAACAGTAATATAATTTTTTGTATTGCTTGGAGCTTTCTTCTAGTATATAAAACACCTTTCTTTATTTTTCTGGCTAGTTTAAAAAATATTTCATAAAAAATTTGAAAGATTGAAATAAACTCACTAAAAGGTTTACAACCAATATTATTTATTGAAAACTAACATTTTCAACTTGGTTTGGTGTAAAATGAATGTAGTAATATTTAGTTTCACGAAAAAAACTACTTATCGTGCCTAACTTATAACGTAACATATAAACTTAAATACACAATGCTTCCACCTAAAAAAGGCCCTTAATTCATTCGTAAAACGTAAAAGAATTCTGTGACATTGTTTTAATACATTAAGATTGGATCAGTTGTAATGATCTATCACCATGCTAATTTATTAAGTTTTTTTATCCAACATGATTTATATATTTAAGTGGCTCTTTAGTGGGTTTCTTATGTTTAAAAAGTAATAACACATTTTTGGTTGTTCAATAATTTATCTATGTACAATATTTGGCATTAACCGACATTTTATTTGTAGTGTAGTATTATTGTGTTTTTTTTATATTTGAGTATTGTTTTATTTTTTATTTTCGTATTGTTTTATTGTTTGAGAGGGCTCAAATAAAGTATTTAACCCGTAATGGCGTTTAAAAAAGATAAATACTCAAATTCTTAGCATACAACTAGATCTAATGCAAAATATCCTACATAAGAATAGTATTAGAAGTACAATAATAAAACATCTCATTTTGTTTACCTTGATACAAGTGATCGTGCTATACTCAAAGCTAATACACAATACCATCGCGTTGGTTTATTTTTTGCCATTCAGCTTTGCAATGTACTTAATACTTTAATAAAACCCAAAAGAACAAAATCAGCAAATGAGAATTTTCCACAATGTCTTATAATGTTGTAATTATTGTTTTCTACAGCTACCTGTAAATGAGTATTAGGATGTAAGTGTTAAGTTTGCAAATAATAATAATATTGACGTGGACATTTTAAACTTAAAATTATTTTCTTCATCTCGTTTCAATCCATATCTATCAATCACTTTGCTTGTTAGAAACAATCACATATTTGTTCTCAGGACTATCCAGATGACGCTGAAGAATGACATCGCTGCTTTTCCACGCCGCCATTTTGTCCTGTTGTATTTTTTCTTGGAGTCATACAAACCCAGAAAGGCTCAGGTAATATTTCATTTTATAGTAAAAAAAACAAAATTTTATTTGATCATTTAATAGTCAACATACTAATTTTAGTTAAAGTGGTTATAGTACCTGTAAAGTTGATAATTCAAGTGGTTGTGTAACAACTAGTTTCGGCTCACAATGGAGCCTTCTTCAGGTTTGCCAAGGACATTGTTGTTTCTTCTGACACCACATAGAAAACATTTAAAAACATAACACGCATGACTAGGACTATCTACTAATTTTACCTTTTGCTACTGTTGTTATATCATTCAAAGAGGGGACTATTATAATAGAAAATTATATTTATTTTGCTGTTCTTATGATTAAGCTTATAAAAAATGTTTTTGGATTTTAAATAGAAAATAATATCCTTTAATGATTTTTCTCAAAAGATTCATGAACCAAAAATGTAATACTTACTAAATCCACAACCCTGCTGCTATAGTTATTTTCTCTCTAGGTTTACCAGAACGTTCTACAACGTGACGACCCCAGAGAACTCTGTCAGTCGCACACTCGTCTCTTCCTCGGAGAGGATGGGGATCCACAGAGAATCACAGGATGACGTAACTTTCAAGATCACCTCCGGAGATCCTGACAGGATATTCAAGTTGGAGGACAAACCCATGGGAGACTTCATCTTCCTCGTACTCCGCACCAGAGGAGGGAGTTCAGTTGTGCTCAATCGGGAACGAAAAGATAAGTTCGTTCTTACAGTCAAGGCCTTTTCTACAAGAAGCAGCTTGGAAGTGACTACGATCATTTACGTCAGAGTGTTGGATCGGAATGATCTTAGTCCGATATTCTTTCCTTCCTCTTACAACGCTACCCTCCCTGAAGATTTCCATCTGTATAAACCAATTTTGACGGTTTCTGCTGAAGACGCTGACCTAGGTTTGAACGGGGAAGTAATATATTCCATCAAGGAGCCTTCAGAGCATTTTGCTGTACACCCGTTTACTGGGGTCTTGACGTTGACTAACCCACTCAAGTATGCGGAGAGGTCGGTGTACGATTTAACTATTGTTGCTCAAGACCGTGCCACAGTGTTTAGAGGGGGAGGAAAGCCTTCGTTTGCATCAGTTTCTGTTCGTGTAAGACAAGTAAATCTGTTTGGGCCTGAAATCTACGTTTATGTTCTCCAAGAGCCTTCTGCTCACAGACTGGGCTGGACATATGCTGTCGCAAGAGTTTTAGATAGAGACGAAGGAATTCATGGAGAAATCGAAGATGTGAAAATAGTAAATGGAGAACTTTCTTCATTTTTCACCGTGGCACAAGTAGATGAGAATAATAACAGGACTGAATACAATATAGTTTTATTAAATAGCTTTAAAGGAGATATATTTTCTTTGGTAAATCTTTCTTTGGAAGTTATCGACCGAGGATTCCCTCAAAGGAAATCTTACAAGGGTATTTCATTTAGACTAAAACGTGTTGTAGATACTGATCCAAAGTTTTTAAATGAATTTTATGAAATTCGCGTGCCTGAGTACTTACCACAGGGTTCACCTATTATTCGTCTATCTATTTTGAATAAGGAACAGTTTTTATCAAATAAATTTAGTATTGTTATAAAAGAAGGAAATGTCAATAAATCGTTTAGGTTTTATGATAAAAAGCTTGTTCTGTGTACAATTAAGCCTCTTGACAGTGAAAAACTTAGAGTCTTTACCTTGTCCTTGGTTATTGTGGATAAACATGGAAATTCTATTGGATCAACAGCCAAGGTAAAAGTGAATGTCGTAGACTACAATGACAATGCTCCAGTTTTCAACGACACTCCGGAAGAAATATGGATAAATGAAAATCAGCCAGCTGGAACACACGTTGTAAAAGTGTTAGCCACAGACAAAGATTCAGAAGACAACGGACAGATCACATACAGTTTGGCAAACATCAATAGAATTCCCTTTGAAATAGATCCTCTGTCTGGAGTGTTGCGTACAACTCAACCTTTAGATTACGAAACTGCAAAACATATCTATTTTATAAAAGTTCGAGCATCCGACTCAGGGACAGATTTTAGACGGGAAACAGAGAAAACGTTTACTGTGAGGGTGAGAAACATTAACGATAATAGTCCTGAATTCACAAAAGCGGAGTGTTCATTATCTATACCACGAAATTTAAAAGTTGGATCTGAACTTTTTTCTATTACGGCGACTGATTTAGACGAATCAGACATTCTTAGCTACTCAGTCTCGTCTACACATGGTACGAACTGTATTAAGATAGATGCTGCTAAAGGTATGCTGAGTTTGCAATGTGATCTAAACGAACTTTCTACAACGGAATGGGGTGTTAATATTACAGCAAATGATGGAATCCATAAGGCACAATCTTACTTAAGGATTTTCGTTGTTACGATGCAGCTTGATTCTGAAGAGCTAAATCTTGCTCAGTACTCTTGTAGGAATTTTGACAGTTTGAAAGAAGAACCAAAAATAAGCAAGTTTAATTCCTTATCACTTTTATCAGGTGATATTGACTATGGAAGCATTCCTAGTAATGATAGAGACAACTTACACTACCCTTTGTTTGAAAACTTACCTGAAAGTTTGAATATTAAGGAGTCCATTCCAGTAGGTGAAATTGTGTACAAGCTTAGAGCGTTTGACGATGATAAAGGAATCAATGGGAAAATTGTGTACGGATTGACAAGTAGACCAGAAGATTTTGTGGTAAAAGTTGATGCGGACTCGGGCGAAATTATAGTTTATAGTGAAATTAACTACGAAGACCAAAATAAATATTCATTAAACGTATCTGTTTGTGATTTAGGCCTCCCACAAAAGTGCTCTTTTGGAAATATCATCTTGAATATATTAAATACCAACAGTTTTGCCCCAAAGTTTAAAGAATCTCACTACAAATTAAACATACCAGAAAATACTGAGATAGGTGAAACGCTTTTAAAAGTTGAAGCAACAGACGACGATTTAAATTTAAGTCAAAATGTCAGCTACTACATTACTAGTAACCCACACTTCGCCATTGACCAAAGTGGTTCAATAACCCTAAAAACCCCTTTAGACAGAGAAACGTCCAAAACCCATACGATAACAGTAAAAGCTGCCGATGGAGAAGTAAACAGTAACGACACACTTTACACAGAAGTGGTCGTGACGTTTTATATACAGGACGTCAACGACAACGTACCTGTCTTTGTAAACACACATTTAGCTGCAAACGTTCCCGAAGACCTTCCAATCGGCAGCATTGTTTTTCTAGTGATTGCTGTAGACAGAGATGAAAACGAAAACGGAGATGTACATTTTTCCCTTGACAATGAATTATTTAAAATTGACTCTTTCACAGGAGTGATTAGACTAAAATCTAAACTGGATTTTGAAACTAAAAGTGAACATAGATTGGTGGTGACTGCAACTGATAGGGGCACTCCAGGACTATCATCTTCTGAGACTGTCGTGGTAAAGGTTACGGACGTTGATGAAAACCTTTTCCCTCCATCGTTTGAGGAGGTGGTTTTTGGAGGGTCGGTGAAGGAGAACCTCCCTGCAGGGACTTTAGTGACATCGTTATCTGCAGTGGATGCCGACGCTACTGGGAGAGACTCTGAGATGTTTTACTATCTTCAAGGAGGCAGCGGATTGGGCCAATTCACGATATCAGAACAAGGTATTTACCTAATTTAATGTAGCTTATTTTTTTATTTATTATGTTTCAAATTATAAAAAAATACAGGCTGAATACTTTTTTGTTGCTTTTATATCAAAGTAAGGGAGTTTTTTAGTCAAAAATATGTTGAATAAATACACTTAATATTAGCACTAGAAATATTTTTTTACAACTTATGAATTTGTATAGCCAACTTCATGCCTATATTGCGCTTAAAAATATTTTTACTTCGATAATTTTGCTTAAAAATGTTGAATCGTTCGTAAGGTTCAAGTTGTTTCTTTTCAAGTGTATTGTTAACCCTCCCTCATATACCTTAGCTTTACCTCGATTTTTAAGCATGAGCTGGTTTCGTTAAGAGTTTCTCGAGTCTATAGTGACGAAATGCACTTTTTAATAGAGGAAATTATTACACTTAATGTTTTCTAAGCCAAAACTATCACCCTGTATACTCAAAAGTTAAGGGGCTTGCTTCGAGAATGATTCATCATAGGATGTAATAACCAGTTCTAATCTATGCTCGCTTCCATGACAGGTTGTGAGGGATCGAAGGATTAGGAGTTGATTGATGCTTTAGCCTTATCAGAGAAGTTATAGCTGGGTAAAGTTGGTGCAGCATAGCCTTCAGTCAAGCTGGTTCTATCGATTCACATACAGTGTTTGAGAGTTTAAAGATGTCTTGTCAAAGCACACTTTAAGTTTAATGGCTTAGTTTGAAGTAAATTAAAAATTGTTTGCCTTTATTTAAAACAATATGCGAGATTTATTTCGAAAATATTCCCGAACGTTTAAAACAAGAAACAACTATGGATAATTTAATTAGTTTTACAAACTAAACCACCAGTAATGAACATAAACCTTTCGTTTGGTTTCAATTTCTCTGTAAACCGATCTTTCTTTCAAATCCATTACATACATTGAGTTACAAACTATTTACAATTTACAGTAAAAGTCATGTTTTTTTATTTAGTAATATTTTGTAAAACATCATAAACTTCAACATCTTGAAACGGAAACGAGGAATCTGAAATTCTTATAAAACATTACTCAGATATTTTAGCTCCTCTTTAGTTTCCCTCTTATAGTGTGAATTCAACAATTTCTCCCAAGCTAAAGTTGGTTCCATAATCTACAAAGATTTTCCTTTTAAGTTAATTTATCTGAAATATTCGTGACGATAACTTTAGTAAACTATTGTTAAAACATCCATTTCAATTTAAAAGAATGATAGAAATGTGCACCTACAGGATGCAAGCAGTGGACTAATATAAACCTGATAAATGTTATTTTTCACTGCCTAGTAAAAAAAAAAATTCCCTGTAAACGGGAAGTTTTATTGAAAAAATCTGTTGAATTCTTGTTACAACGTGTTTACTCTATACATAAACATTATATTAACATTTTGCATACTTATTTATCCTATTAAAACGACTATACTGAAGATTGTTTGGTTAAATTAAGGGATAAACTATCTTTTGGGGATCAGAAACTATTTACAATGAAACATATTTCATATTGTGCTTATAATTTGAAATTTTCAAGATTTTAAAACTTCCATTGTAAAAATTTAACATTTCCATTTTAAAACTTTAAAATATCCATTTATATCTATACAAATATAGTAGGATGAGAGACTGAACTGCTATTTGCAATGCACAAACAGGGTCGAAAGAGCATACACTATATTACCATATAAACTAACTAGATAGAACCCATGTATGTTTCCTCTGGAGGGCAATCTATATCAACCTGTAGCATCCAGTTTAACTCTCATGTGACATTGCCAGGTCTAAAGTATATATCCTGCCACTCCCTGATCATACCCATCTCTCATTTTAGGTAGGCATTAAACACGTTTTACAACTTACAACACACACAAAAAAAATTGTCCACACTAAAATTATATATTAATAAAATCGGTTTTTGTTTTATATTTTCCATTCGTTAATATTGTATATTGGCCTATCACGTTATTGGCCATTGATTCCTGAACTTGATCGAGGCCAGGATCCTTAACCTAATTTGACTAAACCACATTCAGATCAAAATCTCTTTACAGCCTTATAAAATGCCACTTTATAGTACGCGAAACACCTGACATTGAACTTCTAAGACCGAATAATCAAGAAAGAAAGTCAAAACTTCTGAAAATAAACGAAGTCAATTCACTCGTAGTTAATAATTTCTTAGATATCCTAATAAATTATTGCTTTGATACTGGAATCATTTTACCAAGTATAGTTATAACTATGACCTATACATATCATGTATTTAAAACATACACATTTCCTTGAAAATATTTGATACCAAATTATTGACATCGACACATAAATGTGAAATACTAAATACAAATACAAATTTAATATAATTTAAGTAAAAAAAATAATTGACAAATATATAGTACAAAGGTGAGCAAAATGAAGTAAGAATCTATTTCAAAACACACTTCTATTATTTTATCGGCTTGTAATAACAGAACAGGTATTCCTTTACTATAACCAATTTATTCAAATTTACTCTGTGTTAATAACACTGTTTACTTGACACTAATCTTAATTAAATGTTTCCCAGGTCAAATCTACACGTCAGCAATATTAGATGCTGAACGTGCAGATCATTATTGGCTGACGGTTGTTGCAAAGGATTGCGGACTCGTTCCCCTCTCTACCAAAACCCAGGTATTTGTGGAATACTAATAACTTATACCAAAGTGATATTTACTTTAACTGCAATGGAGCTTGTGGACTATGAGTTTAATCACTAAGTGATTTAGTGTTTTAAATTTCATTATTTCTTAATAGCTTACAAGAAAGAGATAACAAGTTTTTTTTTCATGAGGTGTTGAGGTGGTGGAATGAATTAATGTATAAATAAGTTTGGGTATGTATCATTGTAATTTTGAAAACACTGATAATTTTATGCTACTAAATTATTAGATATATTTTTATCGTGTGGAGTATGGACGTAATTTGAAGTATGAAAAAATAGTTATAAAAATGGAAGGTTAGTCTGAAGGGTAATGAATATTCTGTTCCAATCGAATGTACATGTGTGTTTGGGAGTCAGTGTCATATTTATTTTATAATGCATACAAATTTCGATGGAAATAAGCAAATCGGATAGTTATGTATCACAGCACCTTGTAGAAACACCAATTGTTAGATTTTGCAATTTTTTTAAGAGGTTGGCGGCCTCTTTTGCATTTGCCCGTCCACATAGACTACAGATCTGTGCGTGGAACGTGTCCAGCAAAGCAAGGGGTGAGTCGGTACAGTAAAAAGGTGAACTGTACTGATAAATTTTAGTGACAGTGACCAGAATCCGAACCCACGACATCGCTGCCTTGCCTTGGGTCCGAAGTCCGTGACGCTTCCAACTGAGCCACCGACTCACTAAATTCCCGGACGTTGCCTGTCAATCTCATTAGTTTAGCTTTTAGCTGCAAAATATCAAATATTATTCTGAATTGATTTACATTTTGACAGCAAATTTGGTATTCCGTATTACTTTATCCTTCATTGATCCAAAAACACGATTTTCAGGTGTACATATCAGTACTCGATGAGAACGATCGGTTACCACTCACGGTCGAGCCGTTCTATACCTTTACAGTGGAAGAAAACCTTCCTTCTCTGACCGTTGTTGGTTACCTGTCAGCTGTGGACGATGATGTCAGTGGTACCAACATACATACTGGGGACATCCGAAAGGCTACCAACATATCTTACAGTTTGTCCCCATCGTCGATAGCTCTCCCGTTCACCGTTGACTCTCAAACAGGCAAGTTTTTTTTTTATTCTCAAAGATAGTTTTATTTTTTGCATACTTTTTGTTCAAAGATACTTAACAGATTTTCATGTTGGTGGGTGTGTTTTATGAGGGACATGTTAATACCAAATCATCGTAAAGACTTGTATTTTACAAATCTTTGGGTAAGTTTCTAACCGAGAAGTAAGGGTATCTAAGATTAACCTATTATATATTTGTAGGACTTATTTCCACTACCAGACTGCTTGATCATGAAGATGTTAGAGAATACGTGTTAAAGGTAAGTACAGAACTAATAATCTAATTTAAAACCATTACTTTATTATGCTTAAATTTGTATATGCTCCATTATGTCTAGGAAAAATTATTCACAACTTTAGCTGCAAGCATTAATTAAAGATAATTAATTGAAGTTGCCAATATTTTTCCTCATACAAACCTTTAACAATAAAACTTATAATGAAATAAAAAACATTAGAACTAAGAAGTTTGGTTAGGGAAGGTGTTTGTGTGTGTTTGAGTGTATAAGTGTGAGAATATGTGTTTTTAGTTCTGTATTTATAGCTGCACAAACTACATTTTAATTTCTTTTGATTTCCTTAGGTTGTAGTGTCAGACAGAGGTACCCCAAGTCTCACGAGTGAAACTGATGTTCTTATAACAGTGTTGGATGTGAATGACCACGCTCCTCAGTTCACGCAAGACCATTATGTAATTGAACCTCTCTACAGTCTTCAGATATTCCCATCTGTAAGTGACAACTGCATATATAAATGTTAGACGATAATTTAATATTGGCTTCAATGAGATGTGCAAGCTTAATTCGTAGACGCAAATAATTGCTGCACTAGAAAAATGTACGTTTCTCTCTTAAGCATTTTTCTCGAGCACTAAAATGGCAATTTTCACTATTGACTTGGAAAAGTCCCGGAAATAATTTAAAATTTTCAAAAAGTAATAAAGATAGAGCTTTAAGAATTGGTACATAGTTACTGGGCATTAACATAATTTTTACATGATTTAGTTATACACTAGGCTACCTCTTCAAGGGGATGGTCCGCTAGGAGACGGATAAAAATGTTTAATTTAAGCATAGGTTGATATGCCCATCAAATTAAAGGTCTTTATTAGTAGAATATAATGCTACAGTTAGGACCTTTCAACTCTGTCTTTAATTAATAGAAATTGCTTAGTGAATTCAATTTGCAAACTCATTATTTAGTATCAAAGAAGAATAGCTAAAATTTTCGTTAGTCTAAATAGTCTAAAAATAACCCATAGTCTTCATAAGGGTATATATGATAACTTGCATATCATACGCATTTAACAGAACGTTAGGTTTTACATTATTATGTTTTAAAAAAATCTATTTTTATCTAGAATGTTTGAAATAGCTTTAAAACTATTTTTAAAGCATAACATAAATATCGACATTACGTTTGTATAATCTTGTAGTAGTCTATCTGATGTTAAACCCCAACCATTTTTAATTTCGCAGTACTTTATGTATTAGGGAAGACCAAATATAATGCACCAGTTTGACATACAGTTTATATTCCAGAGCCAAGTCCAAAAGGCGCTGCAAGCTGTAACATATGAATATGACAGTTGGAGGGCGTTCAGTATATTGCCGGAGATGGAGATCCTTCCTTTATTCCAAGTAAGGTCTGACGCTGACTTTTTACAGATGTACTTACATGCTTAATATAGTAAAAAAATTGTTTATATTTATTTTCAAACTTTTAAAATAACAGAATGGTTCCGAATTAAGTATTCAACTAGTATACTTAATAAATAGCATTTGTCATTAGTTATTTATACTTTAGTATTTATTACGTTTACAGATATGATAGTTATATTAAATTTCACTTCGATTAATAATCTATTCAAAATTACAATAGCATTTTAAAAGTTGTTTATACTATGACACAGACTCTTTTTTTGAGTTGTAGGTGGTGGCACTGGACAAAGACGAGGGGAGCAAAGGAAAAGTCGTTTACAGTATTTCTATGGACTCTCCATTTACCATAAATTCCGAAACCGGTGCAATATTCCCTTTTACAACTCTAAAGGCTGGTGCTGAATACGAGTGTCAGGTAAGTTGACAAAAACCGTGTGTTGTTTTAGCTATGATTAATTTTAACTTGGGTTCTACCTTAAAAGTTTAATGTACTTTTAATCTGTTGGGATCTAACTTGAACAGCCTTTTATGATTGGGTTGGCAGTTTATTGACTTATATCTCAGATTGTACTTAATATGATTTATATAGGGAACCCTCTTTGAAAATCCTACTGACGTACAAACTAGAACATTTTAACAATCACACGTGCTATGAATGTGGATAGAGCCGGTATTTTCTTTGCTGAAACTTTGGAGATTTGGTATAAGAATGTTTAACATAATTATCTCCTCGTTTTACTGATTTCCTTTGCTATTTTATAATAAATAAAGTTGAAAGAAAATTACCATCTTTAATATTACCATACTTTTAGCATTTTCGATCATAGTAAAAATATAAAACTGCATGCAATGCAGTTAACATAATTTATTACAATGATAGAGGTTCTATTAACAAGTTTTATTGGAATTTGGTTATAGGTCAAAGCCAGTGATAATGGAGTTCCGAGGAGAAGTTCAATAACGAAAGTCACAGTTTACATTCCTGAGAGTGCCTCGCCACTTAGCAAAGCTAAACAAGTCAATAAAGTGATGGTTAAAGTTCAAGAAAGTTTAAGACCTGGAGAAGTAGTAATGCAATTTAACTCCTCAGCATCCAATAAAGGTCCGACTGCATACTTAATCACGGGTGAGTGAACATTTAAGATGGTTTTCCACTTCAATTGTGAACTCCCTCAGAATTCCTTTTATCAATTCAGTTTCATAGCTTAATGACTACATGTTGGTATAAACATCATTAATAACTGAAAAAACATAAATTTTTATTACACATGGAACTATTTCAATATTACATTAACTGTATAAACTACAAAGCCAATATCTAAAAAAGTTCTCATTAAATTTATATTACAAAAACACTTTGAGAATAACAAGGGTTGAATAATACGAATGATCAATAGCTACATGATACCTCACTTAATGTAGTACGTAATTTCTGCAAACTATAGGTACACAATACAGGGTGACAAAAAAGTCTGGAAACGGTTTAATATCTTTTTAACTAAATTCGTTAGAAAATTCAAACCTTTCACATCAACTTACATGTATAAAAACTACTTTTTGCAATCATTGCCATTATTTGACCTCCCCCAGGGGACGGCCCACGAGGAGTAGGTACATAATCTTTAATGTAAGCATAGGTTGATATGCACATCATTTTAAAGGTCTGGTCGAGTGGAGTTCATTGCCGGAAACCGCGTCAAAAAAGGTTCATCCGTTACAAAATGGCAGCTGTCCAAAGTTCTTGTGAAATATACCTGCACAGGCCTTAGTATGGGCAAATACTCGTAATAAACATTAGTTTGAGAACTTAAACTGTATTTTAAAGTCAACTAGCTCATAGACTAATAGTATTCAATCTTCAAAATAAATTTAACCCGGTTTCAGATTTCCCTGCTAATGTTGACTATGAGTATTTACCAATACTAAGGCCTCTGCAGGTATATTCGCAAGAAAATTGAACTGCCGCCATTTTGTAACGGATGAACCTTTTTTGACGCTGTTTCCGGCAATGAACTCCACTCGACCAGACCTTTAAAATGATGTACATATCAACCTATGCTTACATTAAAGATTATGTACCTACTCCTCGTGGGCCGTCCCCTGGGGGAGGTCAAATAATGGCAATGATTGCAAAAAGTAGTTTTCATACATGTAAGTTGATGTGAAAGGTTTTAATTTTCTAACGAATTTAGTTAAAAAGATATTAAACCGCTTCCAGACTTTTTTGTCACCCTGTATAGTAAAAAATATAGTCTATGTAAAAAAATTAATTTCTTTGTATTGAAGAAATTTCACTAAAAAGGTGTACATTTGATCAATTCAGATTAAATTCAAGTCTCAAGTGCAATTAAGTTTTTAATAAACATTACTGAAAGTAAACTACTACGCATGGTAGTTTTAATTAATTCAAGCACAATTAATTTTTTAATATACCGAAGTAACATGTTTTAATTAATGGTTATTCATTTTCAGGAGGAGATGGAGCTAATAACTTTGCACTGGTGAGGGATAGGTTATTGTTGGTTGGGAAACTGAACTGTGAAACTATGCAATCAATGGCGCTGAACATAGCTGCCTTGAATGGGACCAATATATGGAATACTCAGGTATGTAATTAGTGTTAGATTACAAAGTAAAGAATGTTAAAAAATTTTCATTTAGGTGTTTCTTGACTCACAACCCCCAGTCTGTCTGTAGGTTACCCCCTCTACATCTTTAGAAACCTCATTGCTCTAAATATCTCTTAATTATATACCTTATAATCATTTTTCATATCAACATGACTCAAATCACAATAATGTTTAAACAAAACATTATGTACGATTAAAGTGAAAAAGTACCATAAGGCATAACAAGATTATTAAATCAATCTAAAGCTGCAAAATCATGCAGACTAACCGAACAGAAAATTGTACAGTTATCAGGACAATATGAAAAAAATATAATAATAATAGCAAATGTTTAATTATAATTATAGGCAAATTAAAACTTTATTATTATAATTAATTTCTGTAACAATCTCTCAAACACTATTATGATTTCAGTTTTTCTACATTTACAGATATGACATAACAGATGATTGTAGTTTTTCAATGTAGAAACTTTTTTTAATTTTCCCTCGTGATTTCATTTTGCAATCTCCGTAATATGTGTGAAAAATATGGTCAGTAAAAATATTTATTTTATCTACATTATTTAGTTCATTCACATAATTTACCAGAAAATATTTTTCAGGCGTTACAAATTGGTTAGTTGTCGACTTCAATGTGAAAATATTTATAAAAGGAAATAGACCCACTACTATAAACAAAAATATCGTTGCATATTTGTCTTTACACAGAGACAATTCCAATGTGATGTTTGTCCCAAACTGCTCCCAGTGGGAAGTAAACAGAGCCATGTTAATTGTTGGTCGATGGGAATTGGCGTTTCGGCTGTCATTGCACAGTTCGGATAATCTATATAATATTCCTTTCATTTTACTTGTAACTGGTAATAAACAAAAAAATTAAAATAATAAGTACACAATTTTTCACAAATACAATTGACATTCGTATGTGAATCTTTTTATTTACGGTTAAAATATAGCTTAAATGTTAACGATTATAAAGTAAACTGTAAATTGAATTCGTCAAATTATAATAATTTATAATTATAATTATGAATTATAATTTTGTATGCGAGGTACTCTTTGTAAGATACATTGTTTTATTTGCAACTAGCTAATGTACCCGTGTTTCGTAAGAGTAAGATAAATCAGGTTCATAGTAATTGCATTGATTAAGAATAAATAATCGATGATCAAGATTTAGATTAAATAATCCTACCTCGTAGTTGTGAAAGAAACATATAATGTCTTTGGATCAGCTGTCTGGAATTGTGAAATAAACATTTGGTAGTTTTGATTGTATACATTGAATTGTCAACGAATAGGCAAACCTGTGAGTTTTCTCATGTTTTCATGGAGACCAGTTATTAAAATTAACTATTTAAAACCTCTTCTCAAAACTTTGGATATCTACGGAGAAAATCAAGGAAGTGAATAAATTATTCCTAGATATGTGGACCATTTTTGTGCTTACTTTTGGCCGTATTATGCTGTACTTATTATACTGTATCGGTTTAGTATTTTAGTTGTTACAGCCGCCCATCAGACCGACAGACAACTCCTCAATTTTGTAATAGTAGATAGATATAACAATTTGTTTACAGTGAGGATGCTAATAGTTGTGTCCTAACCGTTTAGAAGTGTAATGAGCCAATGAAATAACGAAAAATACGGTGAAGTATTGCATTGGTTGTTGTTTTATTTACGCCATATGAATTAAACAACTAAATTTCCTATCCAAAATATGTATAACTATTTTCATGTAGAGAATTATCAGACGTTAAAAATAATTTTTCCTCTGAAAAAATTCAAGGCATGTGCATTTATGTGTACATTCATGTGTTCATGACGTGTACAAAATATTTGTTAAGTAGATTATTTTTATTTTAAGGACTTAGTGTTATAACTTTAAATATATTTCAGATGGAAATACAAATTTTGGACGTGAACGAGTACAATCCGAAGTTTTCCCAATCTCATTACTTGCTAAACGTAAGTGAAGACACTCCGGAGGATTCCATCTTGACAACATTTCAAGCCCAAGACAGTGACGTCAACTCCTCCTTTCACTTCTCCCTCCATAACAGACATCCAGGATCCGATATGTTCACTCTGGATCGCATCACTGGGGACTTGATTCTTACTGGATATTTAGACAGGTAAACATGGTTTTACTCTTTACCATTACTGGTAACTTGTAAAATAAATTGAAAATCCACCGTTAACAAATTACTGTTGAAAACTTGCAAGTACAACAATTCTGTCAGGTACCTTGTGTGATTTATAAACTTAAAATGGTATCTAATGGGAGGCTAAAACAGTTTTCGTTAGCTAAAAGTAAAATCTACCTATTGCTTAGGTTAGGTTAGATTAGGTTTTTTTTATTTTAAACCCCTTTTATAGGTTTTAACTGTTTTTTTGTTACTTTAATAAACAAATATAGTTTATCTTACGTACGACAAAGTTTTCAAAAAAGAAAAATCATTGTACTGTCAAACTAAATGTATGGACAATGATAAAATTGAACGGACAATTTATATAAATCGGGCCAAATTTTCAACGTTTAATAATATACGCTTTTATGTTCTTAATGTCTTTTAATGTATAAAAATTACATATATCTCAGGTGGTTACAAAGAATACATATATATATATATATATATATATATATATATATATTACATATATTTCTCAAATCTGTGTTAAATTTAATGAAAAAGAATAGATCTATAACATCAAAAACATCCCCTATTCATGGCTCTATAATTAAATTTGCATTTTTTACCACCATTTTCACCCAACTGCTTGAAATAAACAGTATCAAGTGAAAAAATAAAAACAAACTTTAAATTTTGGATTCTAACAATTTAGAAGAAGATATCTTTTCCTTTCCTCCCTTGGGCAAATCAAAGTCTACAAACGGTTGTCAGTGTAAAAGGGATGATGTAAGGGAAGTTTATTGCCTGGAAAACACCCAACAAAGAATCTTGCTGGTCACGAACCTTAACGTGACTTAAACCGAATGGAATACGTGACATAAAATCGTTTAAACTCTGTTTTACGGCTGAAACTTCTATCAGTGTTGGCGATCACATGCAGAATACATATCTCTCGAGGCTTATGAACTCAAAATCAACAATCTCGTTTGTAGATTTCACTTTGTAATGTTTTATGTTGTATGTGGTTTTGAATGAATATTAAAAGTGTTTTATGTCTAATTAGGAAATGTAAATATCTAGGGTCTTATAAGTATTTTCAGATCATAAAATAAATGTAGAAAAACAAACATTACAGCCTAACACAGAGAGTATTGTGTTCTATTTATTGTCTTACCTCAATCTAAAGAACAATCTATATAAACCTTCGTTGCCCATATACTTTAGTGAAATACAATTTCACTTTGTGAATCTTTATCATAGTTGTTTTTTCAGTTGTATAAAATGCATTAATCATGTAAAAATTAGCAATAACTTTTCTTTTTTATAAGACACCTTTAAAAAACAAAAACAAACTGAATTTTTAAACAGTAAATTGTATTTTTATTAATAAATATAAGTAATATTAAAAACTAATATGTTGCTATGAATTTGTTTCAGGGAGACAGCATCATCCCACTTACTAACAATACAGGTCTCTGATGGGGTTGAGAATCAGAAACATGGATACGCTCGTGTCTTGATCGACGTAGTTGATGTAAACGATAATCCTCCTCGGTTTGCTACTGAATCAATGACTTTGAGAGTGTCTGAAGATTTGGAAATTGGAGATGTTGTGGAAACTTTAGTAGCAGCAGATCTAGATGTCGGGGAAAATGGGGAAATCAAGTACTCCATCGTATCAGGTAATTATTGAAATGAAATCCTTATTTTCAATATAAGTAAATTCCATTTTGTAACAAAAATTGTATGGCTGTACATTTCATTATTATTTACTCAGCCAAATCAAAAAATTAGTGTTACTGTACTTTTTATACATTGGTTGTGTACTAAACTAGTCCCACCCTTTTTAAAATGTTAATTATAAACTATTTTACAAACAATATATTATTGGAAAAATAACCTAAACTTATTTCCATGTAGGCAGTATATCTGTGCATAGAAACAAGACTTACACCGTTTTACAGTTAAAAATTGAAAACATGCCTTAAAGACTACTATTTATTAATCAACTTATGTAAAGAAAATAATGAGTCAGTAATAAAATATAGTTCCGTCATAATGTACTTTTACAACGTCATAAGCCACAAGTCAAATATGAAAAGAGAATTAATATTGAGCGAAGAGAAAGCAAATTATATTTATCTTTAAACATAGTTTGTATTGATTATTAATAACACGGTAACTAATAAATGTAACTAATAAATGTGTTAATAAGAATGTACAGACGGAAAAATTTAATATTTTAAAATATAATAACACAATTCATATTGGTTCGTATTATAGTAATGGATATAGTATGCTCCTTTAAACTAAAAAAAAAACATAGAACGGCATTAAATTACTCAAATTAATATTGAAATTATTTTTAAAATTGTTTTACGATTTTAAAATTATAAAAAATATTAAATTATAAAAACTATTTTTTATCATTAAAATTATTTTTTAACTATAAATACTATTTTTTATCATTAAAATTATTTTTTAACTATAAATACTATTTTTAAATCGTTAAAATGATTTTTTAAGTATTAAAATTACTTTTAAAGTATTAAAACTATATTTTAATTACTAAATTTATTTTAAAATTATTAAAATTATTTTTACATCATTTATACTATATTTTATTATTAAATTATTTTTAAATTACTTAACTATCATTATATTATTATTTTTTTTAAATTATCATTTTTTTAATTATTTTTTATTGATAATTATACAAATATTTTTAACAAATCAACAATTTTACAAATATTGTTTTTACAAAGCTATTATATTCTTTTAACAAAAATAACGAAGAACCATCTTTTACTGTAATCTTTTGTTCAGGTAACAAGAATGAAACTTTCAAAGTGAATTCAGAAACGGGATATCTGCGACTGAATAAGGCTCTAGATACTTATCGCCTAACAAGTTTCCACCTCATCATAAGAGCTATTGATAAGGGTTCTCCGCCCTTAGAAGCAAGGTTGAACGTCCTTATCGATGTTGTGCCTTCTGAGAAGAAAGGACCAAAGTGAGTTCCTTTGATATTTACTCCGAATACTGAAACTACCAGTTATTTTCGGTATTTTAAGTATATTTCCATAAGATAAAACTGAAATAGTTAATATAAGGGAAGGATTTGAGTAGAAAATATATACTGGAGATATAATAGTTTGAGAGCTAAGAAACATATGTTATTTTTATCATGCAATACTGTATGTTATATTGTAATAAGTCAATGTTGTCTTATATAACCGATAAGATTACTTATGTAACTCAAGGATGGTAAAAAACATTTTTAAAAGTAGAAATTGAATTGATATACGTTACCTTTATTACCAATAGTTCAAAGCCAATACATTATTAATGTTTGGGACAGATTTCCTAAACCTACATCTATATGTTTCTTAAAAGTGAGATTTTTCTGATTAAGTTACGTGTAAAAAGTCTTTAAGATTGTCAATTAATTATTATACAGGAATTTTATACTTTTACAATTTTCTGTATACTCCTAGAAATATTAACATGCAACATTTGTATTTTATTTTTACTTTTATACTATTTTTTATATTTACTTTTTTCATTTAATGAAAGTTAATCTAAATATAACAAAAACGGCCTTGTACCAATGACATTTCCGGAATAATACAATAATTTAACTATAACAACAACAAAACTGAGGTAACGAAATAATCCGAAAACTTTTAGAAGCTAACATTTCAAAAAACCGATTTATTTACTTTTTAAAAGGGAAAGTTACAACTTGTTTTGGTTGACGATCTCGTTTTCTGGTATGCAATAAACAGCATCTTCCCTCTCCAAATGGCCTATTCAATTTCGCCCGAAAGTGCCTTGACGCCCACTGAGATTTGAGTAGTTATGTAATTTATTTTGTTTGCAAGGCTTACTTTTCCTTAGAAAACATATTTATCTCAACGATTCTTCCGACAAAATTGTCACGGAAAATCTTCTAAAATATAAACTTGAATGCACAGCAATATTAAGTTATTATGTACTATCACAGACTATAGACCAATTAATGGTCTATTGTCTGTGGTAATATGTATAAACAACCTATATTGTTGCATATCGTCTAAGGTTTCTTCTCGTTCATTAGCCTTTTTGTAAGTAAATGTTTAAGTTAAATTATATAAAACGTACTTTTCCCAAAATATCAATTTCCAAAGTTTTAAAAGATAAAAAAAAAAATTGAATTACGGGCCATGGCTTAAACGTTCCAACTAAATATTCCATTATCATTTTGGATATTACGGGTTTAATTTAAATTATTATTATTTTTGTTTTTATTTTAAATGAGTTATTAAAAGAAAATACTAAGCTGATTGTAATCCTAGCGAAACACTTGCTAGCTTTATTTTAATTTTATTATTGGTAATGTTACTTACCTTTATATCAAACATTTCGTTAAATGAAAGTAATAAGCAGAAAAATAATATTAATTGTAAACAATAATATAATTTAGTGATGTTGATTAGTCATCTTATTGACACCATTAATTATAAATAGTGATATAGTTTATGGAATTTAACATGAAAATTCTAATTATATTTTGTTTTATGAACTTGAATTTTTAAAGCAGTACTCAAAATGATTTCAAAATAAAATCTTATGCACAAATACTTAAGTTATTACACAAAAAATGAATTGAAGAATGAAAAAATGTTGTTCAGCATTCAAAAGACTGTTTACTCATACAAACATATCAAATAAACAATAACAATAATATATATAAAGTATACAAAGATATTAGCTTGGAAAACAGCCTCAGCTTATTAGGCCTCATGATGGTGTATGACCGGTCGAAGTCGATCGAAATTATATTATATAAATATTATATACAGGATGTCCCGGAACTCTCTACAAATATTTTAGAGCATTGTTCCGGAGTAGGAAACATATATAAATATCATATTTAAATTGCCCGGAAGTCCTTAGTTACTCACATAGCCACCGTTTTGTTTTTTTTAATAAAGCATTTGGTTAAACGTACGAAATTGTAACTTTGCAGAAACATTTATGACAATTTTCCAAATACATAAAATAAAACGGTGGCAATTTACAATTTTGTTTATTTAATAACTCCAAAACCGTTGATTTGACAAAAAAATTTTTGTGGCCACCATTATGTTTTATGAATATGGAAAATTGCCAAATTCTTTGTCGATTTGTCTAGTTGTACCAAATGTTTCCACATATTTTAAATTTTATATGTTTTACCATTTTTATAAAAAAAATTATATGAGAAAAAATGGTGGCTGTGTGAGTAACTAAAGACTTCCGGATGCCCTAAAATATTAGTAGATAGTTCCGAGACACTCTGTATGTAACCGTGAATGTAATCTGTAATTGGACTATATTTTGGCATACTGTATTTGCACTATACTATCATTACATACATCGGTAATCAAAACTTATACATTGGCATAACATTCCTTCTATTTCCAGATGTATAGAAAGTTCACCATGGACGGAGATACTTGAGAGTGCAGCAGTAGGAGATGTTATAGGGTACATTAACGTTCATACCTTGCCGTATCTCACTTATGAACTTGTATCTGGAGACCCCGAGGGTACATTTAGTGTCAACCCTAGCACAGGAGACATTGTGCTAACTGCTCCTTTAGACCACGAAACTACTCAACTGTACAACATTACAGTCCGCATTACAAGTAGGGTAAGTAACTCATTTTGTATGGTAAAAAATGTTTAAACAGAAAATTTAGAAAATTTAGTAACAAAAGCTTAATGTTCGCATGAGTAGACTACTGTACGTATCTGGGATAACTAACATATAATTTAAGGAAACAGATAAGGAAGATCATACTATAATGCGATGTTCTTTCGTCAATTGTTGAAGAAAGTTTGTTTATGTTCATGGAAGAAATATTGCAAAGATGTTTTACTAATAGTAAAGCACAAGTTTCAATGATTTTTTCATCTAATTTCATATTTAGGTTAGAAGACTCAGCAATGACGTGATTTTTAAAAAGAGGTGGGCATTCTGGGAAGAATGATAGACATAAAATAGACATTTAAGTTATGGAACCATACATATACCATCATGAGTATGTAAAAAGAATTTCCATACAACTTTTTTAATACTCTTGCTGTTATTATCCTTCTTTATAGACACGCAAACTAAAATTGTTACAACTAATTTCAAAAGAATAACATCAAAATTCTAGCATTTAGGAATATTTTGGAAGATGTCTTACTTAGTATTTTTCCTACAGTTACTCTCACTGATTTGAGAAAGCAAAGTGGCCAATTCGTTCATCAGTGAGACAGTGCTAACATTGTCTCACTCTAATTACTTTGTCTCACTCCTGATTTGCAACGTGAAGGCACAAAATAGTGAGCGCGTAACATGCAGACAAGGTCGTATGCGCGCTAAATACGTTGGCAGCACTGGCTGTAAATCAGCTGGTCAGCTGTTGTACTGTTGTATCATTAAATGTCATATTAAAAGTTCACTTCTGTGTAAAAATATGTCACGTTTCTTTACCAATTTATTTGTTTTATGGTAACTGTAGGGAAAATATAATGTGCAACTTGAGTGCAAAGTGCAATTGCTCACTAGTTGCACAAATAACTATTCTAAACAAAGCGAGATAAAAGGATGTATTGCACATCAACTCGTGTTATATTTACAAAAGATATTTTCACTCCAGAAAAATTCTAAAAGAAGACTTGGGAAACAGCCATACAATCTTGAATTTAGCAATGCATTTGATCTGGAGGTTGTACACATACAAAGTAGATATATTTACCTCTAAAGCTTTGTTTCAATAATTTTATTCAGATACGAACAATTTTTGGTAAATTTAAATATACGAAAACGGTGTCCGGAACACTCCACGGATGAGTATAATTAAGGTCACTTCCATTAATCACACTTGTTTTCTTTGTTAGTTTTAATGTTCCCGCAATGCGAACGAGTAATGTTTAAACCCACACTTTTTATAGGGCTTGAATATTTTAAATGGTTATAGCTTCGAAATGCTGAAATCTTAATAGTCTTTTTTTATTTTTAGGAGAAAAACACTATTTATGTAGCTTAATTAATCGCAACGATGTTTAGAAGTATATTTGTATGAATAAATAATCATTTAATTTAGGAATTTTATTGGTATTTGGATGATAAAAAGCCGTGTAAGGAAGTTTTAAATTACTTAAATAGAAAATTTTACGTTTAAACACTTAAAAATAATTTATTATCTAAGACAATAGTACAACTAAAATGTGACAATAAAAAGAATATTTTTGGGTTTTAGTTATAATACTACATACAAAATAACGACACTTAACTTACTGGATATTTTAGATAGCTGAAAATACTTTAAATTTTTGAGGATGACTAGATAAATGCACAATTAATATATATATTTATGAAATTCTGAATCAAAAAGTTGTTGGATACTGAAAATGGGTATATGGTGTGAAACATACTGGTTTTATTATCTAAAAAGTATTATTTTTCTAGGCAGGACTGTACACAGACTGTTCTCTAGTCATATACGTCACTGACTACAACGACAACACTCCCTTCTTCAAACAAGAATCTTACATTGGCTTTGTAAAAGAAGATGATCCCATTGGCTCTTTGGTAATGTCCGAAAATGGGCCACTGAAAATACAAGTGGGAGATTATGATTCTGGAGAGAACGCTATGTTCGAGTTTCTTTTAAAAGGAAAAGGAAAGGAGTTTTTGAACGTTGACCTAATCACAGGTAAGGTTCTGTTTATTATTATAGTCTATAGTAATGTTAAATAAGTAGAAATAAATCATTGCTTGGTGAAATAAATATCGTATTCACGTTCATGTAAAATAAATATTGAAGTTCTCTAAAAATATTTTGAATTATAGTTTATCCATAATTGTTTTTAACGTGTACCTTAAACCTTGCTCGGATTTTTTTTCATTTTGTAATTAAAAGTGTTGATTTCCTATTTAAGAGATGGTTGACAAATTAAAATACTAAACTTTTTTTAATATAGAGGGTGTCCTGGAACTCTCCACCTATATTTAAGGACATTGTTCCTGAGTATGAAACATATCTAAATACCATATTTAAATTGTCTGGAAGTCCTTAGGTACTCACACAGCCGCCTTTTAGTTTTTTTACTTTAAAACTTATTTTAGTGGTTAAAGATACAAAAATAAAACTTAGCAGAAACATTTATGACAACTATACAAACAACAATGACAATTTTTTAAATTCATAAAACAAAATGGCGGCTATTTGAGGTTTTGTTTCTTAAATAACTCATAATCCCTCGGTTTTTAACAACAATTTTTAAAGGCTGCCACTTTGTTGAATTAAATTGAAATGAAAAATTTTAATAATTTCTTTGTAGCTTTGTATAGTTGTCATAATTGATTGTGCAGTATCAATTTCGTATTTTAACCAATTTCTGAAAAAAGTGATAAAAACCCTCGTGACACTGTTTTTGGCTTCAAGTTCCCTTATGACCTAAACAACATCCTGGTCTTGTTTAAGCTTCATGGCTGGGAAAATACCTAAAATATGTGACCCACAGGTCTAATTGTTGTTTATAGACGACCCTATCAACCTGACGTAGACCCTAACTAACCGGAATGTGGACGGTACAAATTATATAAATTGGGATTTTTTTTCATTTTCATCAATAACTCTTTGCACAGAAATAGGTTAAATATACAAACTAGTAACATATCCATGTAATAAACTTCTAAAGCGTACACAAGGAGACTCATCCCCGCATCGATTGTCTTGAAACCTCAAAGGGAAATTTACAGTATGAGAGAAGTAGAGATACGAGAGAGGCAGATATAGAGGCAATACAAAGGCAGTAGAGTACCAATCTCACCTACATATTGATCTTGTTTGATTTCCCTGGTGGTTGTCACTGAACTACCAACAAATTGAGCACGTGTGCGGTTTTTGTTTGGCTAACTGATATGCTGTTCACGCATATTAACTTTCAAACAGAATATTGTCACGTATTCAATATCACTGTTATGAACACTAAATATCTAAATAAAGGGAAACATATTTTTTAAATATCTTGAATTTTATTACATGGTCTTAAATTTAAAATCCTATACCTAATCCCAATTTATTTAAACATATTTGTGTTCAAGTCTTGTCCAGTAAATGTTAGTAAGAATTTGTGAGTTTTCATCGGCTATTTTATATGGTTCGCGTAGAATAATTTTGTGCCTCATCTTTAACGAATATTATAATGATACCCATGTGCAGCGTTAAATCTATAACAACATTTAATAACTTGCACCATTATCATTCAAAATTCTTTCAGTGGGTGGCTGAAGTTCTGTAGTAATCACCTGGTAATCAGAGTTTTTTTTCTGTTCGATATTGAAAACGTCAAAATCAGTTAGGTTTGGACATATGAACCACATTTGATTGGTCAAAAAGTTTTCAATAAATAGTGCTGGCTAAGGAACTAGATAATTTTTGTTCGTATCAAAATTTTCACTTACCTTCGCTCCTCTAAAATACGAACTTTGGCGTGTTTACGATTAAATTATTGACTTCCATCTTTTCCGCAGAATCAAATCAATAAATTGTATGTAACATCTGTAACTTACCTGGCAACTTATGCTATCAGTTAAACTCAACCCTATTTAAGTCTTTATACATTTATTTTGGATTGGTTATCTTGATATATTCGTTGGCAAATTTGTTAATTAATAGGCGGGTAGATGTTTGGTTATATTGTAGAGGGATGAGGGGAGAGGGAAAGGGGATTGTTGGGGGGTGTATTGTGTTTAAGGATTGATGGCCACAAAACACTCGTCCTGTGACTGGGATGAAATATGAAGTGACGTCATATACCGAGGTTGAGGCAGGGAGTTATTAGGGCTGTTTGTCATCAACTCTTTCGTTCTGATTTGTTGTACAATAAAATAAAAAAAATTGTATAATCCTCCAAAATATCTTCAAATTAACGGTTTATCCATGAGGAGTTTTTATAAATTTACTATCCTTTTGTTTATTTAAAAATATTTTCTTTATTCGTACCTTTATAATCGGGCAGGAAAGAAAGTTAGTAAAAAAATTGTAGACGTTTGAATTTATTAATATATATATACATTCGCATGATTCTTGTATTTAGTAGATTAAGAAGACTTCAAGGATTGATTAAGATGGATGATGTGTTCGATCCTCTTAATGAAAGGGCAAGTTTTAATTATTTAACAGCTTAATAAAAAGTTAAAAATATTAATTACAATCAGATCCGTTTCATAAAAACTACAATTTATGATACTGTAGGTCTATATGCTTTAAAAAACTCTGAAACAAATATTACATTTTTCTTTCGCTACAATATTTATTGGCATCGTATGCTACAATCCATATAAAATATTTGTGCCAAATTAAGGATTTTTACAATGTGTTTTAATTACTGTAAAAACAGTAATCATCATCTTATTATTTATCATCTTATTTTTATATACGACAACAAGAACATACGGTGGACTTTCTTTTAGAGCAGCCATTGGTTGAATATCCTCAGAAACTTTCATAGATTCCCCTGTGTTATTTCCTTGGATATATTGTATTGTTCTGGGTTTATGCCAGAGACAAAGTGAACCTCTTTTCTACTTAAACCACCCATTACGATTTAAAATGTAAAATTGTAATAGACGTATTTGTAATTAATCTCAATCATACTTTAATATTGAAGGCATTTTCAGGGACAGTTAGAACTTCTGGTGAATTAGACTATGAAACTGTAAAGGAGATTGAAGTCTTACTATCAGTACGTGACCTTGGACGACCTTCACTAACCTCAACCGCCCTAGCCTCAGTCAAGGTCATTGTGAAGGACGTCAACGATTGTAAACCAAGGTTCCTGCAGAGAGGCTACAATGTCACAGTGATGTTACCTACTGAAAAAGACATATTTCTAGTGCAGGTGATTATTTAGTTGGTAATAATTACTCCTTAAGTCATTACATGTTTAAGACTTTCAACGTTCTTAAAAATTTCAAAAGGTACAGTTTTCTTAAAAACTGTAAACCTTCTGAGACGTGTAATACTCGTATTATTATTTGTATGGGTTTAATAGTTAAAATATTTTAATACAATGTGTATAAACCATGAAAGCAAATAGTATACTATATAAATGCGAATATATAAAGCCATTATATACTTAAGTCTACTAAAGCTAAAAGACATTTAGCCAGGAAACAAAAGAATTCCAAAATTACTTTTAAACTACTTACTAAAATCAATAAATTTACAAAGTATACATAAATATTAAGAAAAAAAACTATACATCAACAACGATTTTAATTCTATTTCATCTTTTCATTTCTCTGGGGGTAAAACCTTTAAAAAAATACAGGCTACGAAAATAAACATTTATATGTAAGTGTAATAATTGTATAGGACAATTAGACAAACAACAATTACATTTACAGTATTTTCCCCAATATTTCCATCTTCAATTCGATGTTCCTGCAAACAAAAACATTGTTTTCAATATGTATAGAATAACAACGAAAAGCAAACACAGTGTGGGTTAAAATATCAACTGTGTTTTTAACAATACAAATAATATCTCGTACACTTTTACTGTTGATTTAATAAACATTCCAATACAGTAGGAACATCAATGAAAATACAAACAATAAAGTTGATTTAAAGTAAATACTGCATATCAATGAAATGGTTTTCTGTCACTTTATCGAGTTTTGTTTACGTTTCATTACTGAGAAGGATTAATATTAACAGTTGGCAGCATTAATATATATTATTGTCTCTGTAGTTAGCAAACTAACTTTGTTAGATTAATTTTATTTGTTTCACAAATACTTAATCAGTAAAAATGGCAGCCTAAAGTTTTCAAGGACAACATTATTGTATTACACTTCTATGAAACAAATTTGTACGCGAATAAGGTTTTTGAATTTTAACTTCTTGGTTAACACTTTTAAAACTCAAGATTCTTATTTTGTTTGAATAGTTAAATACAACATTTATATGTGTTTTTTTTACAAATCTAGAGCCCAGATAAGTTATAGTTAACTATTAATCATTTAGATCGATAGCCATTTCAAAAGGTTTATAAACGGGTTTTAGACTAATGTTAGGCAAATTATCACATATAAACAATTGACACCTATTCTAGATCTTATTGACATTCATATGTGGATCATACAACTAAAGGTTGTACCTTAAACGAATCTTTTTAAACTATGGGATGGTTTTAAATAAATTTGAAAATATAAAGTTATTAAGGGAGGTTTCCACTATTAAATTATATCAAATATTTTTTCGTAAGATGTATTACGCTAAATGACTGATATGGAATAGTATAGCTACATGTTGTAATAATGACTAAGCTGAGTATCATTTACAATGCTACAGTACTTTATCCAAGCGTTTTGCAATGGAATATATTAAATAAAGGGAGTATTCTTCGAAGGAGATGGCAGATATTTCCTTGGAATACGTCAAGAATAATTATGAGTATAACGGGTAACGGGTTTCCCGTTTAGATTTTCTACAACTCGTGAATCACTTAAAACCTCACCCAAATGTTTTTCTTTTGTAGAGTATTGTATTAACTAAGTTTCATGTGACTGATCAAAAACTTCCCCATAATAAAACTATGTCAATAAAAGCTTTCAGTACCTCCCACTTGATGCCGATTTTATCTGTTTGAACCAATTTGCTGATAAAGATTGTTTGGATAAACTAAAGACCAGCGTATGATACTAATTTACGAAAAAAGTTAAAAAATATTATAATCATATTATTTTTGAATCTTTTCTAACGCAAGGAAAACTGTATATGATAGTAAATGTTATTGACTTAAAAAAAAGCTGCTTTTGATTTTTTTTTTCAAACTACTCTCATAGGCTACACCCTGTTAGAAATGCATACATTAGATTTCAATGATGCCAATAAATTTTATATTTTATACCTCATACTTAAAAACTGTACAGGTGTTGGCAGAAGACGCTGATACTGAAGAAGTGACTTGGCTGCAATACACAATAACAAGTGGCAATGAAGATGGTGCATTCTATATGGACAAAAACACCGGTGAAATTTACATTGAAGATCCTGATAAACTTTATCCAAGAAGAATTGTGGTTGGGGTACATGATGGTGTTTTCAAGGATACAACGTAAGAAAAGTTTGGTATATCATGTGATAGATATTAATTATGTTTTTTTTAGCATGTAAAACTTAATTTTCTTCTATTCGATAATTCATCTTGTATTTAAGAAAGCAATTTCATTTGAGGACCTTAATTATTTTAGTAAATTCAATATATTGAGGTAGCTATTAACGTGGCTTTCATGCAATGGTCAAGGTACAGGGCCAGTGTATTTATTTAGTTTTAAACATGATAAAACAAAATTACTTTTAAACATGTGAACAGCTTTCCCTTTTTTCGCTGTCATGCAATTATCCAACGCATACTATCATTTTGTTTAACCTCATCATGGAAGTAAGTTATAACTATATTAATTAAACATACAAAATTATAGACTATAAATTACCTTTAATTAAACGTTTGTAAATATTGTTTTCAATTCATTCCCAAACAAAAAATCATTTATACAGCGACTTATTTTCATATTCAAATCGTCACAAAATTTTACTAATAATAATAATGGTACATTCGCACAAAATAGGTCACTTTGAAATCATAAAATTATCAGTGTAATATGTATTTTTCGTTAAATAGTTAGATGTTCAATGAATTACTTGTCAAACTGTGATTGTGAACTTTGGGATTATAAATATAACCTATAGCCGACATGTTTTTTATTCTTTTTATCAAACAACTTATGTACCGTACTTTTTGAACGAATATTATTTAGATAGGCATTATATGAAAATTATAGTTTATTTAGACGTAATTCAGATACAAATTAATAAATCAAATCATCCAAGGCTACAGGCTGACTAATACGATAGTTTACCCTAAATGTTTAAACTCGCCAAGGATGGAATTTCGTAATCAAGGTTCAAATCTTGAGACCAATACATAGTCTATAATGTTTACGAATACAGTTTTTTGTCCTAGGACGCTAGGCACGATCCCGGAATTGTTTTTCACATTACTTCAGGCAGAACCTAGGAGTTACGGCATTATCACTTAGAAAAAATCCATTGGTGATTTGGTGGGATTTGAACCCGGGACCCCTGGAACCGCAGTCCCGCGTTCTACCCACTAGACCAGCTCGCTACGAATACAGTATCTATGGCGCGTTTTTCAATTATCACACCGTTGGTAAAACCTTGACTACGGCTGGTTGAACTAGTTAAATTAAGGATACTAATAAATATCAGCCTAATAGCCTAATATAGCCTAATTATAAATCTCATTTAGTCATATAATTTTGAATATCATTAACTAAGTTTCAGATGGATAATTAACTAAATTCTCTAGGAAAAACGTTTGACACAAATTGAAGTGTCAGTTCTTGTAATTGTAACTGAACACTTTATTAATTAATAGCTTTACAGCTGCACCTGAGTGACATTTCACAGTGCAATTAAATTTAATGAATGTTCTTAAAGTTGTTCCGTTAGCCTTAATTGGAAAATAATATTTAATAGCAAACATTCAAAAAGTAATTCATAATTAATGAAATATTTAAGTCATTGTGGTAAAATGATGAATACTAGAGGTCGTCCAGTACCGTAGTCGAAAACTCGACCAAAAATATGTACATTAAAGACTTCTCTATTTTCACCCCACCCTGTAAATAAAACCTCACAACCTATTATACCTAACAAAAATTGAGTTTTGTTGACAAATAAAGTATACATATTATATTTCACAAAAACCACTGCAGATAAAAATAGCCTTACTTTAAAATATTTCATCACAACCAGTTAACTTCTACGAATTTATCAAGGACTAAATCATCTCACTTAGTCGCGTTATAGGCATTCATATATCATCCTCTCCACCGGTCTAAGTGTCTAATAACTCAAACAATTCAAGTGTTGTAGAAAGATTTCATTTATTTTGTTTTGTAAATTTTCTCTCTATTAAGAATATGGGGTAATCAAATAATAGAGTACATGAAGAAATGTTAAGTAATAATTACTTTACAACTTTTCATAAATTACATTACGTAATTGGGCTTGCACATTTTATTAAAATTAAATAAAACATGCCAAAGTTTAAAATAAATCTCATATTTTTAGAACTTTATAAATGTTTTATTTATTTCCAAAAATAAATATAACTTCATGAAAAGCAGGCATTAAAGTTTACACTTTAACTTAACCTATAATTTATTTGTTTGATCTAAACTTAACCCATATGTGAAGCTTATTACAAATGTTTAATTTCCAGTTCACTTCCGAACACCGATCGGACTCGTTTGAGCGCATAAATAATTTACCGGTCACATAGCAGATTTGTTCATGCAACAGGAAAATTAAACTCTAAAACTAGGTGGAAGAGACATTTTCGGATTGCGTTTAATATGAATGTCGATAAATTTTCGGGTTATATAATTTGTTTCGTGATAGTCAGCGGTTAATGTATTGTTTATAGCATATTTTTCCCAAATTCTTAGTTCTTTGTAGTGTTAAATTTTATTACCTGTTATTTTATACATTTTTGGAATTTTTTATTTAGAAAGGATGGCGGAAAATTGGATCAGGAGGAATTCATATACGTTGTATTTTTTCAACAATATATTTTTTATATACTTATAACACATGTTGAACTTTTCAAAAATAATGATTCTAACTATGCTACAATGATAATCGGGTTCACTAATGATACCCACTAATTAAAATCATACTCAGTCAGGTAACAGAAACGAAAATTTTCTACTTATCTTATTTTTCATATTTTTAACCTCGCGTGTTATCAATGTATCATAGAATACTGATTGTAATTATATATTTGCTAAGACTTATTAAAATAACAACAATAAATCAGCTTGTCCATAAATCTCAATCGTAACAATAACTAATTATTTTACGATTTTTTTCCACAGTTACCCGACAAAGCGGGCTTTCTTGCCCACATAGTAGCTTATTCCTGTATTTACTTACTTTCCGGTACCCATTCACGTTATCCTACTCATCTTACTTTCCTCCACTCTACTGTAGTATTTCAAGCAATGCTTGCAAACAAGTTGGCAACATTGCCATATCGATCAGCTGGTGCAGTGTTTATTTACCATTCCATTTGACCATTCATACAACGACTTGACATAAACCTATAAAGCTTTTGTTGTGTGTCAACATAAGCATTACAAACCAACAACTATATTAAGATTTTTATTCGCAATGATATTTTATTCAAAAATGTTATTTACAAATTTGAGACACTATTTAATTTAGGTTTTGTTTTGTTTGTGTGACATTTAGATTTAAATTTTAATTTATGAAAGGAAGTGGTAAAAGTTGACCTTTATATACATACGATTACCCATTTATGCTTTATAGTAACCGTATAAACAATGTAATGTAAGGACAGTAGCGAAAAGTATGTCGAGAATAATTTAACTCGTATGTCGAGAGCTGCAAAGCTCAAGTGCAGCAAAGTACCACTTTGCGCACTAGTTACACAAATACCTATTTCAACGCAGATCCTTTATACCCAACAGATAAGTCCACGGATAAGGTTTCTAAGGAAAATATTTTGATGAAGCCCTCCTTCAACTAAATATATTTTAAAATATTTCAAAATTGATTTATTTTAAAAAATTGTTTTAAATATTTAAAAATATGTAATATTTTTTTAACATTTTTATTATTTATAACATGTTTGTTGAAATTGTTTTAATTTCTATTTTTCCAGGACGGTGGATATCTCAGTAAAGCATCACCACCCATCAGCCCTGAGGTTTCAGAAGGACATTTACCATGCAGCTGTGATGGAAAACTCCACAAAGTCATCAGTGGTGGTCGTCGTCAGTTTACTTGGCTCGTTTATTGATGAAAATATCCGGTTCTCAATCCTTAACCGGAAAAGGAACCCGAGTTTCTCGATCGGCCCAACTTCCGGGATCGTTTCCACTTCCGGTGCAGTTTTTGATCGAGAAGAACAAAATTACTATAACTTGATTGTGCAGGTACGCTAGTCATAATTATCATTGCAATGTAATATATGGTAAACGTTTTTTTCTAAAACTCGACATTGTTAGTATGGTGAAACCAAAGTTTTGTCAGGTAAATTCGGGTAATCCCTTTTGGATGTAAAAACCTATATTTTTGTCAACTCTTTAAATGAAAGTAACAGTAAACACTTATTTTAATTTTAAGGTCTTACCTCTGTAGCTTCTGCAGTTAAAAACTACTATCAACGTTCAGTCAGATTATGGCTCATATGTTAGAGTGGCCCTAAAAACTTGTATCTATCATGTATTGAATTAGCATATCAATAGTAAAATATTTTTTTCAATGTGATAACAAATGAATCCAAAGAAATATTTATGTTTTATAACAGTTATGAATAATCTAAGATCAAAATATTAAATCAAAAGAGTAAAAATGGTATCATGCTAAGAAAATGGTAACAAAAACTGAGTTACACTTTTTTTGCTTTACAAGTTAAAGAAACATATTACTTACACATTTTCAGATAATAAAAAAAAAAACTCGTTGATTAATATTTCTAATATATTTTTAGGCTTATTCATTGGACAGAGACCTAATAGCGTTCACTAAAGTCAACGTGTCCATTTTAGACGTAAATGACAATTGCCCACGGTTTACTAATACGCCTTACAGGGCGATTGTGATGGGGAATGCAACAAAAGGAGACTTTGTCTTCAAGGTAAGCTCTATTAGTTGAACCTTACCATTAATTAGTTCAGGTCAAAGATAAGCGTATTTAGAATGATAACCAAGACATACAGAAATTAAAATATATTTGGATAAAATGTATTAACTGGTTCAAAACTAAACAGGTTTGTTAACTAATTTTATTAACTAATATCGAGTAGCCTATGTCCAATAAACTAATTTGTTTATCGTCTGATAAAAGGGAAAACAACGTTTGTAAAAGTTATATGTTAACATTAAACAAGTCTTAAAGAACCAAATTTCGTTCACATTTTAATATATCGTTCCAGACATTACTTGGTGAAAAAATATTTTATCTTGGAAAAATTTATTGTTGGGAACTTTTTCTTTACGGTGATACCACCTTGTCTAAGTTCGTTTGAACCCCAAAAAAGTGTTGGTAAAATCTCTACGGAGCAATATTCTATAAATAACATATTCGAATATTGGAAGTTTCCATTTTGGTATTTAAGAGTTGCTTATATTTCTACGAAAATCTTATTCTTTGCCCTTTCAAATACTAAAAGAAAGGCTTAGTATAAAGCGACTATTTTTTTTAGATCAGCGCTACCGACTTAGACACTGGAGAGAATGGAGAAGTTAGGTTTGAGCTTGACCAACCTGGTTCAGAAATGTTCAGAATCGGACGTAAGTCAGGGGAGATTAGAGTGAAGAACTTGGGGCTACAAACCAAACGAGAGATTACAGTTAAGATTACTGCTTATGATGGAGGTAAGACAATTGTATTACATAATATAGTAGCTGATAAATAGATATTTTAATCATGTATTAATCAGGGATTCTTTTTTAATATTAATTAACAAAAATTAACTTTCTGTGTGGTAGGAATGGAGATTATTTCACTATAATTGTTTCCCTGAAAATATTGTATTTACATTCAATGTTTTAGCAATTGACAAAATATTTGGAAAGCATAAGACCTAAGCAGTGCGGCTTTTGGTAATTTAAACTTTGGTTTTCGTGTAGGTAAATAGTGTCATAGGTCGTGTTTTTTCCCAACACAACCCTAAAAACATAAATGTATATATTTTAAGTGAGGAAAAAAACTATTTTTGGAAGTATTAGTTAACTAAAATAGCAAAAAAAATTAAATTTTGATTTGTTTTAGCTTATTAGGATTTTATTGTATCAATATTATAACTTTTGGAACAGAAAAACATGTTTTTTTTCTTTTTAGGCATCATACCATGCTACTCCTCTACAACTATTGTCGTGTCCGTGGTCGACGCTAGCGCCCCACAGTGGCAGCGGACCGCATACACAGGTTCTGTATCGGAAGACGCCAAACTTTTATCCCCGATTGCTCTGTCACTCAAGGCAACAGCTGATCATAAAGTTGTCTACCAGCTGATCAACTCGTCTGATTTTCTATTACGACATGACACAGGTAAGCTATACCATGGACAAATATAATTAAATATAGACCAACAGCAGTGCTACGGTTGGCATAAGTTCTGGCGTCCACCGCAGGGAGCGCCAGGTAATTACGAAGCGTGTGTGCCTCAACTATATGCCGCTTCCAGCGGTGGACGCCAGAACTTATGCTAACCACAGCATTGATTTCGGTCTATATTTAATTCTATTTATTCAACGGCTAACTCATAAACTGTGAGTCATTATTATCAGTAACGAACGATTATTTAAAATGTATTTCTAATCCTTCCTTGGCATGTAAAAGCACCAATCGTCTTTTTCCCATAGGTTAAACTTAAAAACTTATCAATAAACTTGGATCGGATAAAACAATATTGTATACGGTAAATATTTTCTCATAAAAAAAGTATTTCAAAGGGATTTTAGGTTCGGATTTCGTCGTAACAATTTTAAGTCATACAGTTCAATTCTATGCCCTTAAAAATAACTACTTTTGCTTTGGTTTTACACTAATGACTTATGTAAATTAAAAAGTTATGTTTCAAAAAGCATTTGTACTTTTCAGGGGAGCTCCAGGTCTACACATCTCTGGACAGGGAGAAATTCCACACTTATCACCTCCAGGTTCGTGCAACAGACAGTGTAACAGGTTCTTCCTCAGACACTTTGGTAGTCCTGGAGGTCACCGATATTAATGACAATCCTCCTGTCTTCCTGGAGGAAAGGTACAGTACGAGAGTCCCTGAAGATGCGCCAGAAGGGACTATTGTCTTGGGAGTGGTGGCAATGGATCTTGATGCAGGTAATTTGACCTTTAGTTAACGTTATATGTGAATGAACAGTTAATATTAGTTTTAATAGGTTTATTATGGTCTTTCCCATCACGAATTGTAAAAAAAAGGATTTCTAGCGGAGTTTCTAGATAGGCTTAATATTCTTCATTTTAATTGCAAATAATTTTTGTAGGAAATTTTCGTGATTTTTTTAGTAACATAAACGTACGACAAGCAAATAATAATAAAAAAAATGGATTATTATTTGTTTCAAAGCAAGAGCTATTTTACTTATTTACAAAAACAATAAATACACGTAGGTTACTACCTCCAAATGGTTTTCAGACAATGCAAATAACACAATTCTAAGCAACTAAGCATCCACCAACGATATTAATGATAATAATATAAAAAAGAAATTCCAAAGCTATGCAAGTTGCTTGGGTACAACCCTACTCAAAATCCGTTACACATTTATTTTATCAATATGTAAAAGTATATTTACTGCGTTTCCAGTCTCAAAGGGAGCACATAGGGTGTTCTTATGCGACAAGGTTTAATTATTCTGCACAAAAAATTATAACCATTTTAACTTTGACTAACTGCTTTTCTTAAAACACAGTTGAGTTTTAAGTTAAATTTAAATAAATAATAACAAAAATATAGTTTTATTTGATTATTTACTATATTTTATCGTTATTTTGTGTTCCTTTTTTCAGGACATAATGGAACCGTAAGGTACTCCTTATTAGACTCACACTTTAAAATAGATCCTGTGAACGGAACCTTGGTTCTACTGCGGAGTTTAGACTATGAAACAAAGAAACACCACACTATCAAGGTCGTAGCTACTGACATGGGTGTTCCATCATTACTTTCCCATGTATACGTGGATATTGAAGGTAATTGAAGTTCAAAATAATTTGTATAAAACTAAATGTTCAAAATAGTAATGTACATATAAAAACTGTTTGTATAATACATCTGCTTTGCTACACAAATACTGTACTTTCTAAAAATTCCTGGTTTTACTGTTCTGGATTTAAAAGTACATAGGGTGTTTAATGGAATCCAGAGGTAACGTTACTAAACGAGGAGAGGATTATTTGAAAATCCAACGATAAATTACTTCTATGAAATTTTAAACGTTAAAAGAATAAGTAATAAACAAACAATTAAAATAATTCAAAACTACAAAATATATAACGTGATGATATGTGTAATTATTTTCTTTATTTTAAACAAACATATTTGGGATCACATTTATAAAAACCTATTTGATACCGAATATTTTTATCAATTCGAATGTGAAATCATATATACATCCTTATCACAAAGATTAACTTACCATTAAAACGTATCGAGTATCACATTTTGTTTTATTATCAATTTGAAATTATTCCCATATATAAAATAACATTTTCCCTTTCCTTTTTCCTTTCCAAATGAATTTAATTTGTAAGGTTACGTTGAATGATCACACATTGTATTTTATAGTAGTTTACGAAACAGTCGCATAAATATAGTTCTAACGACACGAGTAGAAAATTTAAGCTACGAACCTTAGCGAGCGCCTTAAAAACTTCTACGAGTGTCGTTAACACCGTTTACGTGAGCTGCGTACAGTACTTTACCTACGACCGGTTTTTTATTACTAATGAGCCCTACTCAAAACTTCTAAGAGATGTTATGTTTTCGTTTATAACCTCTCATTGCCACGGACATTGATGCAACGAATTATTGCATTAATCACTAATTGCACCAATCTTTATCAATGAAATTGGTAAACAGATAATTATTTGAAGTTCGAAGCATTACAATTTTAATTCTTCTCTCTCAATCCTTGAACCTCATTGGTCCGTTACAGGTGTTGTTATGTTAAACTATGTTGATATGTAAGTAAACAATGCTGTTATGAACCTTTCAATTCTAAGAACTGAACTGAAACGGATAGTTTAATTAATTACATTAACTTTATTAAGACTTCCCACTTAAAAAAGCTGTTATGATCCTATTTTTTTTTTTCAGTGCTTAACGTTAACGACAATCCACCCGAGTTTTCTTCTTCGACTTCGAAGTTCGTCGTAGCACAGCACGTCAACAGAGGCTTCTTAGTAGGAAAAGTCATTGCATATGACAAAGACAAAGATAAGATCAACTTTAGAACAAAGGTTCAGAACGGGGTGTTTCATATAGATGATTTTGGTGAGTATACATGATATAATTTCAACTATAATATTCTAGGAATCCTTTCCTTGAGCTAAATGGATTTTGTCGCCTTACTTCGTTCAGTGACGTATTAAGCCCATACTATAGTTTAAGACTTCTAGGGTACATCTTCTGGTTGGAAGAAAACGGGTCATCTATCCTATTTTGTTAGATCCGTCATAACTGTTATAGAACACACACAACACAAAACCACGATACAAATACGATTAAAAATGCAATACTGAAAACTGGCCAGTGTTTTCAATGCAGATCCGAAAGATGACTCGCCTATTTTTGTCACACCTCATGATAAGCTCCAGAAGTCTGGCTCTATATCAATGATGGCCACTCGACGTAGTAAGGCAGCGTAAGCATTTAGCTTGAATTTAACTTAAAAACCAAAGACTACTACTTTATAGCAATGTTTGATGTAGGAGATGAAATTCAGATTCAAAATATCAGAAAAGGATTTTATTGCCAGCTTGAACTGGTTAGAAAAATGCCTAGCTTTAAGAAATTCACAATAATAACTAAATTCAAGCACAAAGAAAACTAAAAGAAATGTCCTAAATGAAACAAAAATTCTATTGAAGCTAAAATAGTTAATTCAATATCAAATAAATATATGTGCAAGCTTTATTTAATCCTAGTAGGTGAGTAAAAATTATAAATGATGTTCTGAAATGTTTGTTATAGTAAACAAATATAATTTTAATATCAATTTAAAGATATTTATAATTTGTCCTAGTATAACAATTTAATAACCATTAAACTTAAATATTGTGTGGGAAATATTATTAAATTTCTCTATGTTATAAGTTGTTTAAACAATGTATTTTTATTGCAGTTTAAAATGTAGACAATCAATAGTAAATTATCTCTCTCTTTACATTAAAACTAGTGCTTAATATTATCCATCTAAATATATTTAATATTCTTTACAGGAGTAATCACAGTGAGAAATCCGAAATTATTGACTTCCAATACAAATTTCCTCATCAACATCACAGTAGAAGATGGCATTTATTCAACAAACGGGTTTGTTGAAATCAACGTCTTGTCAAGTAACAGACAGCCACCTAAATTTAGTAGAGATTTTTACGAAACTAAGGTGGATGAAAACAAGCCAGCTGGAAGCCCAGTGATAAGAGTAGCAGCTTTTGATAAGGACTTTGGTATCTTTGGCAACGTCACCTACTTCCTTCCTCCTCAAAAAAGTACGAAGTTTTTTGCAGTGGATAAATATTCAGGTAAGTTTTAGTTAGTAACCTTTTTCTTTTGAAGATTTAACCAACTTTATTTTATAAAATATCCTTAGATAAAACCAAGTACACTGGTGCAAAATAAATTTAAAGATTTATTTTTCTATTATGAACAAATAATAGCTATTTAAGCTAAGCCCTATTATTTTCAAATAGATATTACAGATGATATATTTATTTCCCTTGGAATTGAGGCCAAAGGTTTATGCTATAGTCGTATAGTTGATTTTATCTATATATTAATTTGAAACAGTTTTTCTTTGTGACAGCTATTTTGAGAGAACGGCTGGGCGAAGAAACTCGGTAGAGGTGTCTAAAGAAAGGTCTTGGTCTGTAGATGAGCCATGAAAAGAGAAAAATTGTGAATTCATTTGGGGCTCTGCCCCAGTGGCCTTTAAATTCCCATCCCATGTTATTCTTATGGAGGAAAATGGGGTTTTGGTCACAGATAATTTGAGAGAACGGCTGGGCTTAGAAACTTGTTATTGTATAAATTAGGAGAAACATTTTTCCTATTTACATGTTATTTTGAATTTTAACGTTATTTATTAAATATAATACATTCTAATTCTTGAGGAATAGTAAACATATCTAAGATATCGGTTCATTTTGCGTCTTTTAAATCATACTGCAGCTTAAATGGCCCTTGTGAACACATGTTTTACTGGTCTAGATTAGTCCTGTTTCTCTGTATGGTGTAAAAATCAGCTGGTGTCGATGACGTCAACAGTATATATTTTCTTTTGTTATTTTGATTGCAGGGAATTTGTTGTATCGAAAGTATCAGCTGATTGATTACCAACTAGGTTTAGATTTGTAAAGTTTTAGTTAAGAATAATGTTAGGGAAAACAGTTAATTGCACTTATACCCAAGAAATGCACGAAAACTATTGATAGTAAGCCATATCAATCGATATTTTAAAGGACCCAAACACAATTGTAATAGACGAAATTTAACATCGGGTGTTTCACAATGGCAAAATTGAAATAAGTCTAGTGATAAAAGTCATTTTTGGTAGCTTATCTTTACATTACAAGTACATACGTTTTGTGACTTAGTTCGCTTTAATTATGAAAAAAAATATGGTTCATTACTTTGGCTAAAAGTTTCTTTTCAACCCTCGCTCGTTTTCCAACCTCAGCTTCGTTAAACTTGAGTTTTATTGAAAAGAGTCAATTTACGCCCTATTGATGAAATACTATTCGTGGTGAGTTTAATTCAAAGGCAGATTTTTAAGTTTACCAGAGACCTTACTAGACATACTTTCGTAAATACTTAAAATTCTTGTTTCTAAATATTTGGTATTTGAACACTAGACAAAAAATACATGCTATTGTTGACCTTATCGGTTTGTAAATAATTTATTGTTAAAATTAAAATATATTGATGTAACATAGCTAGGAATCCCTATACTTTCCCTCCTTGTTGGTAAATGGTACTCAACACCCAAGGTACTCAGTGCCTAATTAGGTTCTGCAGTTTGGGAAGATGGTTCTCCATTAGAGCCACTTATGTTGTATGAACTTTGGCCAAGTTAATGGAATGGGTGTTGTTTGGTTACCCTTGATAATGGATATGAATGGACTGCTGCTATGTTTGTCGTGGTACTAAGGACATTGTGGAATTTTCGCTTGACGTATTTTTTATTTGTAAACAAGTTTTTCATGATTACCAAAAGAGAAATTGTAGTATTTTTAGCAAGAGATCAACGAAGATTGGGTGATAATAGATTAAACCCCTAGGTCTATCTTGAAGTAATGTGAAAAACAATATCTGGCTCGTGCCTAGCGTCCTAGGACAAAAACAACGTATAAAGTGTATCTAATTCGGTTGCTATTATATATGAGAACAAATTACTTGATCTAACAATAAACTATTTAAAATTGTATAAATAATATTGAATATTAGTGCAACTTTCTTAGCTGATAGGGTAGAGCTAATAAATAAACCAGTTTGACTAATGTTTGGGGTAGCTATAGTTTTAGGTTTAAACACTGGATCTAGTTGTTTTATTCCGACATAAAACTTGAAAATAACTATGCACCCCATTTACAGCAACAAACTTTCTTTAAATAGTAAAATAGCTTTTTAAAAGTTCTAGAAAATTTTAAAGTTGAGGATTAACAAATATATATTTTGCCATACATTATGATATTGAAATTATTTCTTTGCAATGTGTTATTGCTATCCTAAGTGTTGTAGTATCTCAATATAAACTATTCATTTCAATATCATTTTCATTTTGATGTTCAACTACGAAAACATATCTTGTAGAAATGATCAATTTAAATGCTGACGAAGGTCTGCAAATTACTGATTTTTAAGTTACTTATAATGATTTAATTTTTCTTGCTAGGAGATATAAAAACACGCACGCCTCTGGACAGGGAGCAAGACCCTTATCATGTCATTCACATAATGGCCAAGGATGGAGGAGGACTGCTAAGCTGGTCAAAGGTCAAGGTCAATGTCATTGATGAAAATGATAACAAGCCTTTCTTTGAGCTGCCACATTACTATGGCTGTGTTTCCAAAGGATTAGCTATAAATCAAAACATCATTAAGGTAAGAGCTGATAATTAATATGACTTGTCATAAATATTTTCCTTTTGTTAAGTCAAGATAAAAAAGTGAAAAGTGCTTGGTTTGCAATAATAGCAATTATTACTGGATTGTTGATTTACAATGGAAATTGAATTCTTGGTACTAAATTGGAATGCTGAAAATCTCGATCGACAATGGTTTAATTTTGGATCCAATCTTGTCTACCTTGATTATTTCGCTGTGATTCCGATTGGGTTGGATTAAAAGATGTAGCTTTGTGATTTTTATGGGTTCGAAAAACTAAAAATATACTATACTATTTAAGGAAACGTGGTTTTAGTTTTATTTATAAAATAATATAAGTTTTAAATCTATTTAAGAATTTATTAACAAATATTGTTTAAACATGGCTTCGCAATTTCGGTTAAGAATACTATTTCGAGCAGCCTAAAATATTGTATATAAACTATTTAAACCCCAGTGACTATAAGTTGAGCGTGACATATAAAAACTATTCGTATTTACTATTCCTACGTAATTCAGATTAACAATAAACTATAGCAACTATGCGAAAGTTTATTTTTAGCTTATATTTGTACATACTCAAATGCTAATATTTACATTTGACTTAAAATTAATTTTTTCCTCTTTAACTAAACAATATAGTTTATGAAACACTAAAATAGAATGTCTGTTCATTGAATAATACAACACGGAATAAGTTTAATAAATCATGGATGAATGTTACCCACTTTTTAAGATTGAAAGCGGATTTTGTAAAGAGTATTTTTCTCTGAACAGACGAAGCCACAGTTACATTCAATCATGCTGGTATCGGAAAAGGATTAGTCTTTAACTGCAGGGCTTTCAAATATAGAAATTTTCTTTTCTGCCCCAGTGAACCTAGCAATGCAGAAAACAATTGAGTTTTAAATTTAGTTATGTCAATATTCATAATTTTATGTTATATATTTACCAGTTTGTGTATACATATTTTTAATATATATATCGTCATCGGATTGAAAAATGAAAGGCTTACACACCATAAATTTAAAATGTATGTCAAGTAAAAATTAAAATCATAAACTATTTACCTAGTATTCTTTATCATTTGATGATTTGTAGAGATTTTTTAAATTTCAGAAATGTCTTAAAACACTTACGATTAAAGATTCCGGATAAAAATATAAAATATGACAAATAATGCTATGTAATGCAAAACGTTAATACGGAAGAAAGTGTATACAGCATTTTAATAGCAGAAAACTTAACTAAATATTGAAAGTACAATGCTTTTTATGAATCATTACAATAAAACAGTTGAATAGCATACTTGCAAAGAATCATCATTGTGTGTTCCATCAAAAATACTAATAGCAAGGAATTATACAGAGTTTTTCATTAGTATATAGTAAAACTCTAGGATATGGTTTTATAGCAAAATAAAGAATACTAAATGAGAGTTTTTCTCTAAAAACGCTTCGTCAAACAGATATTATCTTTCACTTGTTTTTTTTTATTTTTTACATTACTATTTTATATAAAGTGCTTCCCGAACATTCTTTATAAAAATGTAATTGAAATGTATTTTAAGTTTAAATGGGCCTATGTGAAAATAAATAAGCCCGATGTAGTCAGAATGCTCCTCATTTTATCTATTTTAAAGCTAAAACCGTGATATTTCAGCGGTTTATTATTCGTATGATAAGAAATATTCAGTTCAAAAGAAAAGATTCCTTTAAGATATATTTAATACAATCAGCCATTTCTTTGTAATTTAAGCTATTAGTTAAATGTCATATGTTTTTGTTATTTAACATTGTACCAAGTTAGTTTTTTTTTATAATATAGGTCTACTTTATTTTGAAATACTTACTAAGTTTCATTTAATACAAAATGCCCAATATATGGTTAACTTAGAGTTTAAACAAATTTTTTATGTTAATGATCTTTTAATTTTGATCTATCAACCCATTTTCTGAAGTTTTCTATTTGTTTACGGGACATCTCGTATAAAATTAAACTAGTTTACGCGTAAATATTTTGTACCAGTAACCGTTGTACTTTTGTAACTGTGTTAAAAAAACAAAAGCAGTAAATAAAATTCTTAATAAAATGGTCGAAACTTTTTTTATACTCTACGACTATTCAAAATTCAATTTCTTCCTTTAGTAATTTTCTTCATTACTAAAAGACCAGCGTAGTAATACAATAAACAGTAATAACAACAAGCTGGTTCGTTGGTTATAATAGGTCTATCAATATTTATGAGTGGCTTAAAAAATGGAAGCTCCTGCTTAGAATAATTTTAAAATTTGGAACGATGTGGGGTTATATCCATTTATAAGTCCTTATGGCAGGATTATTATTGATGCTAAATAGGAAATACAATTCAACTGTTAAAGTACTTTTATTTGTGAAACTGTCAAGTATATTTTTCTGTACTGTAATTGAATATTTAAATATAATGGTTTGTTTAGCTTACAGCAACTGACATTGACGAAGGAATGCATGGCTCAGCCAGGTACTCCATTGTTAATGCTGAACCTCCAGAAGCAAAGACCTGGTTGCACATTGAACCTGTAAACGGCTCTATTACGTTGAACAATCCAAATCTACTTAGAGGTAAGAAGATTAGTGATTTTATTTTCGTGTATGGTAGTTATAGAACTGTACAGTGTATTGTTAGTAATATTCAGTAATATTAATTTAGCCTTAAAATAATTTCCAATCTGAAAGGTCAAGTGTTACACTCAGTTGTAGCTTTTGTAGTATTTTACCTTACTACGATGTTTATATCATAATTTATATTACATCAGGTTTAAGCTAACAGAATCACAAGTAAGGATCACATTAAGTAATTTTTGTATGTAAAAATATTTTTTTTTATTTTTTACTCGATATTTTTGTTGAACTATATATTTGTGCTATTTATTTATATGTATATAGATATTTATTTAAATTTCACGCGGATGCATTGACTGAATATTATGATATCTAATGAAGCAAAAACACTTTCATATTTAAAAATAATTACTTATACTAAAGATTATCGAGAGAACGTAATTACAAATCCCTTTCAATTGATTTACGCTATATTTAATAGCTATATTTTGGTTTTTTACCACTACAGTAGTTATAATATTTATAAATCCCTTACAATTATTTTGTTTACAGGACCAACAATAAAGTTGACTGTTAGAGCCAGTGACTCAGGAACCCCTCCGCTCTATTCTGACGTCATATTAAGACTGCACACGTCACATGACAAACAATCTTCACCGTTGAGAAGTTTTCCCTCGCGAATGCGCATTCCTTTGGATGCTAAACAAGGTAAGCATCCTGGGTTGAAGTGGAACAATATTTTAAATGTTTCAATCATACCAAAAACAATATATTTTTCTTAACTTCAAAAAAAAATTAAAACCTATATTTAATATTTTTATTGAAATTATTTCTCAGTGACGCAACGAATCACTGTACCAAACACTGATGCACTACTCATTAACAATCTGGTATAAACAGCTGATCAGTTGACGTTTGAAACATTACAATTTTACTTCTCTCTCAATCCTTGAACCTTATTGGTACATTATCCCTGTATATTAAGTAAAACAACAGTGCTTTTATGTAAGTAAACAATGCTGTTATGTGAGTCTTTTCAATTCTAAGAACTAAACTGAAACGGCTACTTAAGAAAAAAACGTTCATAGGTAAAATAATTTTTCATTTTTATCATCACAATATCAGTAGTTTATAGAATAAAAATTAAATAACAAAACTTTCGTTTGTTATTCGTACCTGCTACGGAATTCCCTAGATATTGATCTACAGTATGTTCTTCTGCTAAATATAAAAAAATCGAGGATTTGTCTATTTAATTTTTAGTATATGGCATGCAATAACTTTTTATATAAGTAATTTTGTCATATATCTTGAGTTTTTACTAACAGAAAAAAACCACTCAAGATTTCAATAATTACAAAAACTTAGTTATCATGAAAATTCTAAATAAATTCTATTACAATAATATTTTATAATTTTACTAATGTGTGTTTCATAATATTTTATTACGAGATAATAATATTTTTGGAGTGCATTGATGAAGTTTATCACTAGAATATAATTGTTTAATGTTTACAGGATATATTGTTCATCGTTTCGAGGAGAATCAGCATCACAAAACAAAAATGCTTATATCCGGACAAGGAGACATCTTCGGCATAAATTCTAACGGAGAGTTATTTGTAAAAAGACATCCAATTCTAAAACATAACAAAGTAGGACTTCTAGTTCAGGCTCAAAAAGAAGAGTTTGCCATTTGTGCCTTTTACGAGATAAATATTGAGACTTATTCGACAAGAAACAACTTGACTTTTGTACAGGAGAGAGTAGAAATTTCTCTACCGGAAAATATTGCTGTCGGAACGTCTGTTTTCAAAGGTAAGTGCTCAAGTTTCAACAATAATGTAGTGATTTGAAACATAATGCTTACAGCAACATCTGAATCATTAGTTTTATAACGATAAACATTGTTATATAGATAGTAGTGGTCTTACTATTGTTGTATAGTGCATAAAAAGACACAAACTCATTTTTTATGAAAGTAATGTTATGTAAAAAAATATTATTTATGTAATCTCATAAATTTATTCCGTATCTTATACAGTTGTACTGAGTCATTTAAATGTATTTTAAAACGTAAAATTATCATATTATTTTTTCTTACTTAACTTTCTTAACTATTGCACATGGTAATCATAGCTTAGCACTCGTTTGGTATTATATGAATATGAAAATACTTGCGTAGACTTTTACTTCATTATAATTTACTTAACAGTTTTTTTTTTTTTTTTTTTTAGAAGTACACTTAGTTTGTTTTAGTTGGTAACTAATTACCCACAATGAAAATTTTAATTTAGAACTTCAAAGAATTGATGTTTAGAACTACTTGTTACTATATCAATAATGTAAACCTTAATCATTCAACCCACTTATATTCTTGTTTTATAGTAGTTTTACTTCATAAATTTTTTACCTTAATGTAGCCTACAATTTTTCCATTAAACTTAAACCTTATTTTAATGGTTATCTAGTACATGAGTTAATAAAATTCAAATAAAAATAAATGGAAAAATTCCTTATGGCCCTTTCTTACACTTAACCTGGCATACAAAAATACATAAAAATAAATATACAAATAAATTACCTAATCTAATTATACATCTTATATATTTTACAGACTGTATAAATTTGTAAAACAAAATTAAAAAAAAAAATTTAACAAAAAACAAAGACAATCACACACTTTTGCACACCCACACCAGCAATCGCGCATACACAGAAGCCCTAGAACACACTCTAGCCGAGACCATCCGGTCAAAGTAGAGATTTTTCATTGCCACTACAAAACTAGGGACGTTTTCCAAGGGTTGCTGTAATAAACAACTTATTTTTCAGTGGAGATCAACGAAGACGAACCAACAGTTTTGTTCAGCATGGCTCCAAGTAAAGTGTTCTCCATAGACCCTATGACAGGGTGGATCACAGTCACCGCTCCACTTGACAGGGAAGACCAAGACTCTCATGACGTCATCGTCACCGCATCTACATCCCTGACGTCACAATCTACATCTGTCGTCATCATAAACGTCACTGACGTCAATGACAATCCGCATATTTTCAACCAGGATGTTTACCATGTGGCAGGTATAAAAAAATCTGTTATATTATCTTTATTAAATTTAAGAACTCGGTTTTTAACGGTAAGATTATTATTTTGTGAACTCTATCTTTTTTAAGGATCGTTGCAATACAACGTTCTTTTCGGTTAGTTATTTTTTTTTTGGTCTTGTACAATTGATTAGAACTGACAGAATGGATTCGTGATAAGTGATTAGAATTATAACAACCAAAATTCTTTGAGGTTATTATTTTGAGAAACTACAAAAGAGTCCTCTAGATTTTTTGTTGTAAAAATATATTCATCACTGAACCTTAAAGCAAGATCTAGATCCAGTACAACAGATGTGATTTTTAACCCGTATAAAAAGAATAACTTTATATATTACTTGCTTATTAATATTTGTTTCCGTAGAATGTTTTGAATTTAAAACTAATTCTAGTGTTTATTCCTTGTTAAAGCATTAATATTTACCTTGAAATACATATTATCTCATGAAAATAACGCGAAATCAAACAAATATTTGGTCCTTGTGTGTATATTTCCCAAATATTTGGTAAACGATGTTTATAAAGTGAGTTTATCTAAAATTGTATTGCCTTTTGAGTCAATTTCCAGCAAAAACAGTTTTCACTTCACGAGTTACAGGGCTTATTATCTCTTTTTCTACCTACACCAAACAGAATTAGTTGGATTCGAGGTCACTAGATCTTGTAAATTCCGTTTTACACATTTAAACAAGATCATGACACCAAAATGTTTACATCATTCGAAAAAATTTAACATGACCAATTTTAAAGTAGTGCTAGGTGTAGTGCTAGGTGTTAAAGTAGTGCCGTGCCATATTATATCACCAATTGTAATATAATGTGAAATTGTTGGGTTTTTTGTTCCTCAGTCAAGGAGGATTCTCCGACTGGTACCGAGGTGGCCAGGCTGTCATTGGTTGACCCAGACCTAGCCGATGACGTCATTCATTACGTCATTTTGGAAGGCGATGATGACGCCATGTTCACCATGTCTTTCACTGGACAAGTGCTTCTCGCAAAGTCTCTAGATAGAGAAGCTCAAACTGATTACTCTTTGGTGGTCATCGCAAGCGATGGCGTCTTCATTGCTTCAACTATTGTCAACGTTCTCGTCATTGATGTGAATGGTAAGTTTTGCCCTTTGTTATGTATTGCCATAGACTGTCAAAGTAAGGTTCCGTGATGTGCCGCTAGGAGTACCGTGTAGTTACGGCGCATACCACTGCAGAACAGGCCACGCCCTGGAAGAATTGGCAACGTCGCACGTAGGGTTGTTTAGTGTGAGACGTCCCATAAGATAACATGGCAGACAGGTGACATTAGCTCATTAATTCGCACTTTATTGATTTATATTTAAATTTATGAACATAAATTTATTAAAATATTGAAAGTACAACATGCAGAATTGAAAAGCTAAACAACATGAATTGAAAATGTTTATCTGTTCATTTAAAACGTAATCAGAGTATTGTCATAGTCCAGTAACCAAGCTCTCGTAAGTACACAAATACCATTAGCTTCCAAACAAAATTGCTGTTACAACCCTACTTGCAACGTTGCCACTTCGAAGGCCACGGCCTGTTAAAGGTGGTCGAGGCTGCAGGTGAGGAGCCGCATACTACCAGCAGACGCTGCAGCGGTAGTGCCGTAGCTACACGGCACTCCTAGCGGTGCACGCTGGAACATATGCTAACCACATCACTGCTGTCGGTCTATATTTATTCTCATTGCCTATATTTATTCTCAATATTATAGGAAAACCTTGCCATTGTTTTTGTCTTTAGCTGATCACTAGAAGGAGTGTAAACGCAACGCTTACCTCTAGTTAAGTATATTTAACGTGTTTCATTCAATTACCAAATTTAATAACATCTTACCCTAAAGCAAGTATTTTTAATATGCCATAATATAGGTTACAAACACATTTTCAAGACTGTAATTATTATTTTTAAAGTCAAATTTAAATATTAATCTAAATAAAAAGTTTAGAATATTCTAACCTGGGATTTTATATAATAAATTTATATAACAAGGAGCTAAAAATCGAAATAAATAAGGGATAAGATTTTAAAACCTGAAAACAAATCAAACAACAACACCTCAAAGAACACCTTACAAGGAATTTAGAAATAACCGTAAAAATAGTTACATTGATTAGGTAACAATTGAAAAGGGATAACAATAAATTTAACAAAAAATATGTAAAAAAAGAAAACATGCTAGTATAATAATAATGATAAAAAGCAGTTTAAAGGGTAAAATATATATTTCTGACGGTGAAATACTTCTCATAATTAAAATCCACATGAATATTCATGCAACCCATTAAACCAAGGTAATAACAAAGAAGAGTTCTGAAAGATAATAAAACCTTGGTGTGGTTTTAGTAATTGATTAAACATTTATAACTTCGGTCGGCAAAGTTTTATTGAACATTCCACACCACAACGCTGCAATTAAACTCTGTGGTTTTAGAGTTTCAGCCAAAGTTTGCAGTATTTAGAAACCGTGTGTGACCTCAAGTCGTATATAGGTGTGCAAAACATGCAGACTGTGAAATCGCTATCGGAAAGTTATCTTAGTGTAAAGTGCAAAATAATTGCTTAAAGATTAATAACAGGTGTGTTACTAGTTTCCTTTAATGTTCCCCACAAACTTGTATGTCGTGTTTGTGAGTATCCACAGTTTTGCCTCCTAAGCTTAAGTTTGGGTTGGAGGTATAAATTTTCAATTTTCAATTGATTTATATCGTGTTACCTTTTAGTATTTAGTTAGTAGCATTTTTTTTAACAGTATATATTAAAGCATCTTTAAATACCCTACATCTCACTATAGACTATAACTAAAATTAATCCTGTTTCTAATTTGTTCTATGTTTTGCTTTTCTTATTACTTCATTTTGAATTATATAATAACTGTGAAATTTTTTTAACGAGTAATATAGTAACTGTGTGTAATTGATAAAGCAACTCAAAAACATATAAGCACTTTATCCTTTATATAATTGCTCATATGTTTTTGAGTTGCTTTAACAATTAATTACACACAGCTACTATAACAAAATACATAGTTATTATATAATTCAAAATGAAGTAATAAGAAAAGCGAAACATAGAACAAATTACAAACAGGATTAATTTTAGTTATAGTCTATAGTGAGATGTAGTGTATTTAAAGATGCTTTAATATATACTGTTTAAACAAAATGCTACTAACTAAATACTAAAAGGTAACACACGCACTGTTTTGTTATTTGTGGAGATATTTAATTTCAGTTTTATGTTTTTAAAGTTACCTAGCAGAAAACTACAGGTTTACAAATTAACACTTTAACGCCCCCCTTTCACCCCACAACAGTAAACCTAAGCTCTAGGTGGTAAATAAGTATATTTTTTATGGAAATATTTTTTTAAAAATCCAATCAGACAAACTAAAATTTGCTTAGTTTACAGGTTTACTGCGGTTGGGGTATTTGTGTGTACTATTTTTTTTTTTACTAAAAAAAATGCAATATTAGAAGAAAAAATATTAAAATTAAATATATCTTCATGTAATTCAATGATTCTTTCCCAGATGAACCACACAGCTGTGTACACTCACTCTACAATATATCTTTGGAGGAGTCTTTACCTCCAGGACATCTCATCGTTTCCATCCTGACCTCCGACCCTGACCTTGAATCATCCCTGTTGTACCACCTGGCAAGCAAAGATCAAGCCAAATTCTACGTCGACAACCACGGGGATTTAAGACTAAAGCAGTATTTAGACAGAGAGTTGAATCCAGGTAAAGATGTTTTGTCATTTTTATAATTTTTGTTAATACGATTGATGTAATGTAATGTAATATCAAAATATATATTCAAATTAAATACAACAATATATGATGTCATAGGAGATGAAATGTAATGAAATACATTCCTAACTTATATTGTTGTTTAATTATAATCCAAACTATTTCTACCATGCGAGTGAGTCAAATTATGCTATTGCCGAGAATACTATATCAGCTGTTTTGCAACATATTTATTTAAATGTTCCTGGGAGCATGAGCAAAGCCTCTTAATACACATTACTTGTTACATTACATTCAATTTATATGTTTCTAATGAACCCATGTTATAAAAACATCGTTATTGTTATAATCCTATTATTACATTCTTATATTTTAGAGCACACAGTGGAGGTGACCGTAAAAGACCCACATCACCCAGAATGGGTCTGCAGCTCTGTGGTACACATCATCGTTAACGATATAAACGATAACACACCATCGTTCGCAGTCAGCAACGAGACTGTCATGTTGACAGAAGACGCCATCGTTGGAATGATCGTTACGAAGATCACTGTTCTAGACTACGATGAAGGTGATAAATATTTAATTTTAAATATATTTTTTTAAACATTTATTTGTTAGGAATATTAATTGCCATTTGATTTGTGTTATAATAAGTTACTGTAAGTCAATGCAAGGTAAAAGTTTGGATCACATAGTTTCTTTTAAACAGGGGGTTTGCAATATACCGAATATTCTTATTGAAAAAGAGAACTGTCCCCTTCTGCTTTTCCCTAATAAAACAGAAAATGGGATTCGAACCACCTTGATATACAATTATTGCATGAATATGTCCTTTAACACAGAAAATTGAAAACAAAACTTCAGAACCCTATATTACTCTAACCAATAAATTGGTTTGCCTTTTTTAATTTGCCTTTTTTATGTCCTTTAACACAGAAAATTGAAAACAAATCTTCAGAACCCTCTATGACTCTAACCAATAAATTGGTTTGCCTTTTTTAACTCACTTTATTCAAGAGAACGTACGACATTCAATTACAGAAAGTAGGACATTGCTGTTTATGTGTTGCAATTATATTATTACCCGATATAGTGTGCGGAATAAACGGCCAGTATATTTTACCCTACGTTGCTTTACTCTGTTTGAGTTATAATTTTCTAAAAATAACTTATATAAAAGAAACTATACCAAGCATTAAAAGGACATGGATGGTCAGGTACAGATACATTTTCTTGCAGTCTCAATAATGTTATATATCTCATTTTATCTGAAGGATTTTGTTTTATGAATTGAGATGCACTGATCTTATGTTACATATATATTTTGTATGTTACCAAGCTGGAACTACACATGTTCTCATGTGGAAATTGCATTTTATCTTTAGCCATCCAGGATTTTCCTTAACATCGATTACACGTATGCAATTGACAAGTATTGAATTTGCAGGTCTTAACCGCACAATACACTACGCCCTGGTCAATCAAAATGGTCTGTTTAACCTGTCGTCAACCTCAGGTCTCCTAGTTCTAGCTAAACCTTTGCCCAACGGACCAGGTTCTGTGTATTACGTCACTGTTCGAGCCAGCGACCTGGGCAAACCTTCTTTGTCTTCGGTGTCCACATTGCAGGTATATTTTAGCATAGTAATCCTATTTAAGGTATACAAATAAGGTCATATCATTGACTACACACATAGTAGACTATCCATGTAATTTAAAAATTTGAAGCCAGGAAAATATATTCAGGACCATCTCACCAGAGGGTACGAGTGTATTGTGCTAAATATTAACATTGAATATTATTACAATTAGACGTTCCATCCCCATGTTAAATTTGTTGCCAGATTTTTTATAAAACTCGTCGTAGTTCATGTGAGCCAACGAGAGATTGCTCTGATCAAAATTACTAAATTCCGTCGAATACACACATTTTTGGCCAAGTCGAACTTAGGGAATGTCTTATGGTGAGCTATAGCAACTAATATGGCCCATCAACTTGGTCAGCTATGAAAAAATAAGGTATAAAATAGAATTTTAGACGCTAGTGCATTCTTTGGCTGGCTCACACAGCTAGGTAAAAAAACGGTGACAACTGTTCCATATAGATGGGATATAATAACCTTGCGTAGTATTTCAAAAACACTTGTATTGCTTTTTAACACTTTTTTCAAAATCAAATATAAAATCATCATAAACAAATGCAATCTGCATGATTAGTTTCCAAATCAATAATGAACATGTTGCAAAAACACTATTGTATCTCCACGATACTATGAATTAAATCAGAAAAACATAGTTTTTTCTGCCATAATTCTATTTTATATAATATTCAAGTTAATACGTATTTTGGAAAGACAATGACGAATGACATAAGGTTGTCTTCCATTATAAAAAATAGTTATTATAGTAAAACATGAATTAAGAGAGGTGTATTGCTTAAAGTGGAAACTGAATATGTTTTCTTTTGCAGATTGTAGTCCTCGGCATGAATGATGATCCTCCTGTACAACTGTCAGGGACATTCCATGTATCGGTGTCTGAAGATGCACCAGTCGGATCGTCAATTCTTCAGCTACAGTCAGACAGGAGAGTCGTCATTGAATTTTCAACTGTTGTCTACACGATTCTAGAGGGAAACGGGCAGGGAGAGTTCGACATTGATAGAAAGTCAGGTAAAAGAATAATATATGGTAAAAGTTAGAATACAGAAATTTTTTATTTGACATTTTGTCTTAAGTAGGTAATAATTTAAACGAACTTTATTTCCGATACATTCAAAAGCCATAATAAAAACTTTCAAAAACTTAGTTTATGTCCTTTGAAACCATATCATTTTAAGCTTTCTACGTTAGCGTTGTACATATGCAATATAAACAGTCACTTTGCTATTCACATTTTTAATTATTTTCGTTTTAGTTAAATTTTTACCTACGTAAACTGAAGATCTTTAGAATATATTTTTTCCCTTACTACAACCCCCATTGTGATACATGTTTACTAACTTAATGTTAACTTAACTTTGTAAACTTAATGCCTCTATGTACCATAAATAAAGTTTGTGCAAAGATCACTATTTATCTTTTTACTATAGGCGGAGTTGGTGTTTTAATCTGTGGGGCAACTGACTGAAATACCGTGGTATTGTGTGTTGGGTTTCACTCTGGTTTACTTAAAAAGTATAAGTACTGTCAATTCCTGTTTTACCAGTTCGTTCCTATCTCCGCTTTGAAGGTTCCATGCACGACCCAAAGGCTCTTAAAGTGTGTGTGGATGCACAAACTAAAAAGTATATCAAACCACCCACGAATAACAATTTAAGTAATGTTTTTACCTAACAATTGAGTTGCATAAACTTATTTAGTGAGGAGTATAGTTTTGAATTTTATATTTCAGGATTATTAACCATAAGCAAACCTTTAGACTACGAGTCCCACCAGAGCTACCAGCTGTTGATACTCGCTACGAGTGTTGGGGAGAGCTCTGTCACTAGTTACTCATCTGTTAACGTGACTGTACTGGACGTCAATGATAACACTCCGATGTTCAAGGTCAACCGGTGGTCCGTCCAGATCAGAGAAGATATTGAAGTTGGCCAGATTGTTCTGAAGGTAAATAAGGATTCCAAAAAGCATATTAGTCACCATTGGTATAGGTCCAATACAAAGACAAAAGATGGGAAGAATTGTTAAAGATGAGACTTAATCTATAATCTTTAATCTATAAACAATAATCTATGATATATGATATTAAATCTATAATTTATAATCTATAATCTGTAATCTATCATTTATAATATATGATCTATACTTTATACTCTATAATCTATAATCTACGCAAATAAGGTAAATGTTGTAGAATAATGATTATAAGTCAATTAATACAGAGTGGCCCAAATAAATCGTCCTTTAAATAAAATCCATCGGAATTTCGCTGTTAAGGTGAGTTTAAAAGGCCTAAGAGGAACGAGCTAAGGTCTGTTAGTCTAGCTACTGAAACATATATCACGGTTAACTTTGTTTGAGTTACCTGTTTTTGCCAATTGGTGCTTCAGAGTTCCGATCTTAGATTTCCTCTAGTTTTTGCTGATGTATCGTTTCTGTAATTGGCAATGTCGTTTGTTTTGTTCCGATCTTAGTTTTCCTCTAGATTTGCTGATTCATTCTTTCTTTGGCAACGTCGTGTGTTTTTATAAGATTATTAAGAACATTAATATATCATATGAATTTTATTACTACATGGTGACATTTAACCATGTATATATTATTCAACTGGTGCACAATGTCCAAAAAATTGTTTTATAAATTTATAGAATCATCTCATTTTTGTTTTTTTCTTCTTAATTTTAAGAACAATCTTACGGAAAATGTAGACCTTCAATGATCTATCTAAGTACAAAAGCAATGTCTATAAAGGTTGACTGATTTCCATTGTTCCTAAATCCCAATACATACTTAGGATAAGTTTTACTCACACCCAATTTATATTTGGTCATGATTTAATTTGCAAACTCTTAATTTGTATTTTCAAAATGTGTTTTTACCAGCCATGAGCACACGAGTAATCTATGGTCTGTTTCATTTACAGCTGGAAGCAATCGACATCGATTCCGGCTCTAATGGAATGATTCGTTACTCGCTAGACACCGATTCCATGCAACAGTTTGCAATAGATTCATTCAATGGGATCCTGATGGTACTTAGCTCTCTAGATCGAGAAAAGGTAATACCCACTGCTTGTTTCACAAACGTACAATATATTATCTTAGGAACAACAAATTGGTTACATTACATATTTTTTTTTCAGAAAGCTCAATACAACATATCAGTGGTGGCTACAGATCAGGGAACCATTTCTCTGTCGTCGACAGCTTATGTAAACTTGGAAGTACTTGATGTAAACGACAACCCACCAACATTTCTTACGCCAAACGTAACTACTGTACTTCAGGTAATTTGTTTAGTTGCCCCCATAAAAGTTAACCAAAAGTACAAAAATATATTACAAATATTGTTTTATTCTCCATTACTAGGTTAGAAAGCTCTTCTTATTGGAAGCAAACGTTTTAGCTATCAAGCATATTTTGGTAATTTAAGATAGTAATAAACTTTGTCCTTAGGAAAATTGCTGCTAAGTCCACATTCAATCCATTCCTGAATAAAACCAGCCACTTTTATCTGAGCGAGAACGTTATAATAATCACTTACCTGGCCAATCTAATTAATTGTTTGGCGACTGTTTTTATAGGGTTACCGCTCAAATTGTATTTATAGTAATGTACATTATTACCAATTTAACTTTACAATATGTTGACATGTGGACATTTTATTATCTAGATTGTATCGACAGATAACAATAGGAAAGTAAAGTTTAATTTTTAGAGAGCCCATATATAGTTAGATATTAAACACAAAAACCTTTTTTTGGTAAAATAAAATAAAAGTAATACATATAGAAATCTCTTAAAACATTGTATACAGTGTACTTTGATTTTTTTAATTTGAAATACACCCAACAATAATTTTGAAGTTCTTTATGTATGTGACTGATTATTTTTACAACCCATTATATTTGGACAAGCTGTTTGATGAATTTCGTGTTTTTAGTTATTTTAAACTTGATATAAAAAAAACAGATGGATATAGTAATATCTTAGCAATATTAATGCTCCAATAAAGTTATCAAATCATTCACCAACCTCAAAAATATTGTTCTAGGCTGACAGGATGCCAGGCTGGGCTGTTTTTCATTTTGCTGTGACTGACGCCGACCTCACACTCAATTCTTCTTTTATATTCCACATTACTGAAGGCAACTCAAAAGACATGTTTAGAATAGACAGTGATGGAACTTTAAGGACTACTGACAAGTTGAAAATACAGTTAGGAGAACAGCATACACTAGTGGTCAGGGTAGAAGATTCTGAAGACCCTACGTTATCCTCTTCAACCTGGATATACATCAAGGTAGGTCAACGATTACTAAAATAACTAGAATTATTTGTAAATCATTTTTCCCTAATGGACATGTTACTTGCGCATACAAGAGTTTCATAATTGTAATTTAGCTATGTTCTTTATTTACATTAGTAACAATTCAATAGATTATATCAACAACATTTTTACCATCATTATATATAGATTTTTTTACAGGCTGAATAATTTAGATTCGTGTTTATGTTTGTAATCTAATTAATCCACCTGAGTGATCCAACAATAAATAATTAATATCTCAAATTCGCGAATAATATATTATCTGATCAGCATATCATTTTAATTTTTAGATTTAAATATCCACGATATAAAAAAAATGGTTAAATATTAAATACTGTTAAACATGCCAAGAAATGTAAAAATATCGTGAAACGACATTAATAAGTTTATAGTTTCACTTTCATTCTAAACTAGTATTATTTTTCATCTATGCTGGAAATCACAAACATAATTTTTCTAACAGGTAGTCGAGCCTTCGAAACACCCGCCAATTCTTCACCCTATGAAAGTTTGGGTGGCAATTTACGAACAACAATGGAACGGGGGAGACCTTGGCGTGTTAACATCAAGTGACCTTGACCCGTATGACAAGCTTGAGTACAGTGTTCCGTCCAACCATCACTTCTCAGTGGACCCTCGCCAAGGTACACTCAGAGCTAGAAGTAGCCTGGCTCCTGGAGTGTACAATGTCAACGTGACTGTTTCAGATGGGAAGTTCACTACAGCAACAAACGTAGTTGTTACAGTTGAACCATTGAGGCAGGACATGCTGCAAACATCTGTGTATATCAGGTAAGGAACAACTTTGTGTTTGAATGTTTTAATTGAATATGAAATTTAAATGAGGTTTTGTAATGAAGGAAAGATTTAGTTAAGATCCTAATTCTTACGAAACGACGACAAGTTGTTTTTTACCTTGTTGACGTATACGATTTAAATTACATTGAATAAATGTATTGTTTTAATTCACGTATAGAGTCCACAAGTGTTTGGGCAACATTTTCTTTCTGAGTAATTAAGATGTATACCAAGTAGAGTCGATTTCATTTTCATCTGTCAAAAAAGTAGAAAGTTTCGAAAAGAACTGAAGACTGCTTCATAATTCATCACAGCATATATAGTAATGGGAAAAACTTTTGAAGCAACAAACTTTTAGTATTTGTCAAAAGTGTATCAAATCTAACTTTTTTTACAGACTTTCACCAAGAATTCGACAGCAAACTGTGGCCTCAAAGCTACCACGGTTTCTGTCAACATTACAATCTGCGTTTTTAAGAGATGTTAGACTAATAAGTATTCAAAATGGTCCTGGCTCAAGTATTGGTCTTCTGATTGCGGTGGATGGAGTAAGTAGTGAAATAAAAATTATATATGACTTTTTGAATAACTTACTAGAAATTCTTCAAGTCAATCTATTCAAAGTTTACTTGTTTTATTTAACATGCAGATATTTTCAACCAAGAACAAGTTTTGAGACAACGAGTGATTGTTATGCTTTTAATTCAGTTCAATACTTATATCAACAATAAAACGTAAATTAAGATAATCCTTTTTGGGCGATTAAAACACAACTCTCAATAAATTATGTATTTTCTCGTTATAACACCCAAAGGGAAAATATCAGAAAGACAAGGAACCTTAAAAAAGTCTGTATTTATTTGCAATTGTTATACCATATATTGTGATTGTAACCATGACCTAAGAGTTGAATCAAAATAATGATAAAAAGGCATTATGGTTTACTTATCTCATCAATGCCATGTATATAATCTAATACCTTATAAAAATAATGTATTGAAGTAATCGTGGCATTATAACTACACATCATTATAGTAACCTTTCTTTCTAGTCCTTGGCGATGATGATTTTTAAAACCCATACCTTTTTAGTATTTATGATCAAAAATCATTAAAAAGTTTGTTTGCATAGGGTGCAGACCTGCAAGTAGTCCAAGAAGTAATGGACTCGTGTGGATTGACCGGAACCACACCACAGTGTGACTGCAGGAACGGTGGAGTGTGTCAAAGACAGTTACAGATGATGCCTGAGAAAACATCCCTGTTGATGGGAGAAGGTATCAGTTTTGTGGCCCCGGGACATTCTTTGGCATATTACTGCATCTGCTCAATGGGATATGCAGGTATTCCTCTTCACGTTTAATACACGGTTGATAAATAATAGCAACTATTATAACGTTGATTTATATATAATTTCCTTCTTTTCTAATTATTTATTTAAAACCAATTTGCTATAATTGTTGCAAGTTGCGAATGAGTAAAAGTGATAGGTTAGGTTAGGGTAGGTTAGGTTAGGTTGGGTTAGGATAGGTTAGGTTAAGTTAGGTTAGGTTAGGTTGGGTTAGGATAGGTTAGGTCAGGTTAGGTTAGGTTAGGTTAGGTTGTAAAGAATTCAATTCCACATGGATTCACTCTAGAACTTCATAAAGAGTTTTACCTATTGCTCAGTCAACTTTATGGCTGTATCTTTTTCAGGTGAACACTGTGAGGAAATAAAATGCCTTTGCCCTCCCCTACAAGTCTGTGTCCCTCAGAAGGTTGGGTTTACTTGTATCCCGCCTTGCTCAGCCAATCAGACGTGCCCGGCTGCTATGACGTCACTAGTCACATGGTCCGAGCTTGTTATATGTATCTTGGCCTCAACTGCACTAATTACTGTTGTCGCTGTGTTTGTTGCCTATGGGTTAGTTGATGACTTTTAATATTTTATGAAATTATCACATTTATTTTATAAAATACAGTGTTACTTGATGGCAGATCTATTTATGTTACTCAGCTATACGCTATTATCAGAATACTGTACATCTCTTTACTAGTATTTGACAATTTACTAAGCCGTTCCTAGATTCGTGACAAAAACTTGTATTTTTAAACCAAAACAATTTATTTTTTTAAATTTGTCTTGGTTTTAATACTATTTAATTTCTATGTGACTTAATTATAACTATAACTATTGGGACTTCTTTTCTGCATCACTTTTTACTATTCAGAAACCAAATAACAGCCTTTTCTACTGCAACGTCCTTTATTCGTCAATATAGCCCTTTGACATACACCATACGTGAATTTTAGTTGTAGCTAATTCACACCTTGTTCCGTTGTTAGATAATAAGAAACATACAAGTTCCAGCTTTGAATAAATAATACTGAGTAAAAGCTAATTTAAATAACACCACACTAATTTTGATGTTCTTTCTTAGGAGGAGGTACCGTAGATCATCTGACAACAAAGAGAAAAATAAAAGTTGGGGAAAGCAAAACGACCAGACAAAGAAGAAGTCAAAACTAAGCAATCTCATGATGTCTAAGGTACAAAGAAAAATATTCATAATTAGCAGGCTAATGATTCGTTGTAATATACTCGGTGTGTATAGCAGAGTAAGCTGCTGATCCTAGAAAAAACTGTCACCATATTTTAAATATTGCCAATCTTAAATGTTAAAATTGAAAAATAATACATATGGTTGTTATAAAAGCCTTCCTGTCTACAGTTTAAACTATTTAAGATAATATATAAAATATATGCCACTGACAGATACCAGTGGATAACCAGCTCACATTAATACATATTACAGTTCCAGAGATATTTCAATAAATTATACATTTAATATTTCAAATTAACTATTGTATGTAATTTTGAACATATAATTATATCCACACATACAGTCAGACAGACACACACAGACACACAGACATCACTTCGAAACCCACTGTTTTCGTTTCTGGGAACCAAAAACGAATGTATCCATCCATAATTCAAACATGTAAATGTTGACGAAAAATACTTTATCTATACAGATTTAGATTATACATTGACTATTTATAGGGGAAGAAAGTAAAAATAAAATTCTAAGAATCAGTTTTCTCAACAGACTTGTTATAGCTTCTTGCGTATCACAAATACTTTTTGATTGCAATAGTTTAATAAAATTGTCATCACACTATAATGTGTTAGCCGTTGAGCAAACGTTAATTGGAAACTGTTCGCTTATTTACCCAAAATATTAATGTTTACATATTGACAATGCTATTAAAATACATTGTCACCACTGCGTAACAAATATTTATCGATTTTCTCAAAATATATCTTTACATGACATAAAAGTCGTAGTTGTGTTCATTTTTTCCAATTTTGGATAATGTGGTGAAAAATAGCATTCATAAAATGGGCCAAAAGGGTTTTGCTGCTCTCAATCGTTTTCAGTTTTCGTCTTCGTTCCAAACATGAAAAAATTATCTCGAGCTGGCATAGCATCATTATTGGCCCTAGGTACGAAATATACTATTATAAATAATTCAATTATCTTGAAATAAATTATTTCTTGACAATTTATGACTAAGTGATTATTAAGTTAAAAATATTTTCTATTCTGTAAATCGTGATTTACAGTATGCTTTGTGTTTTTAATGTATGCTTTTGTTTTCAGAAACCACAGATTTTTACTGGCAGTCCAAACAATGGTATTGGACGTAACAATCTAGAATGTACTGCAGCAACTGTCATAGAAGGAGAAGTAATACCTTTGGACTATCTGAGAAATATCAACCCCTTAACAAAGATGGAAAATGGTAAGTAAATCTTCGTACGCTCAAATACACTCTTACTTCCTGGGTTAACGATTTAGATGACGATTTAGTCGTACAATGTTTTTTTACGATTTCGTTAGGGAAAGGTGTAAGCTTCACTTTTTAATGTGCTACATTTATCCTGGAATAATAAAACTATATGTGTAATTTAAGATGAGGAAAAAATCGGTTTCATAGATAATGCATCTAGCCCAAAAGCATGGGTCTGAATTGGGATTTATATAGTTTGGTTCTGATAGGAATCGTTGTAGTTTAAAGTTATTAATTTTCCTAGAGATAACAATAGCTTTCCCTTTAAAACCCAGATTTTGAGAGAAGATTATATTCCAACCACAATTATCATTGATAATATTTCCTGTTTTAAAGTAAACATGCTAAATTTATTTGACATATGCGATTAATATACTTTAAGAGTTTAATTAAAGATTAAAATTACACCTCTTAACTCTTTCTTTTTTCACCTAACATAGCTTGTATCAATTGAACTGTTTTGGTTCCTTGTTTTTTGTTTAGTGCTCGTCCACTTTTAATCGTGATAATAATTGAATATTAAACATACTACTGTATTGTAATTGGGTGATATTTTGGTGGTATTGGGTTGTAAACTAGCCGTATTAATGAACCAATAAGATGACTTGATCAACAAATGCACAACTAACAACAAATTGCAATAAATTATTTAATGGATAATTATTGTAATCTGTAAAAATTACCTTAAAGTTAATTCAAATTTAATTAGTTTGTACTTTTACATGAACGGTAATGTATTAGGGGTTAATTAATAAAAAAACTCCAGTTTTGGGTTATTTTTATATCGTATTCATATTGGTTTAAATATAAAAAATAAAATTAAAGCGAAATGTTTAGATCAAAGGAACATACTTGTATTAATACGTTATAATTTTAGTTAAAATCTATTCAGTGCAAATTTTGTAATCATCAACACTGATCTGAATTACAGCCCCACAACTGTTATTAGATAATGCACATTGAAATGCATAACTGAAAGAATCGAAAATTATAACAATAATATTCTCAATTTATTTAATAGGCATTTAGTCTAGTGTTCAAAACATTTCTGTAAATAGTGCATTACTCAATGATACTAGTTAATCTATTTATAATTATCTTGCCAATCTTAATTTATTGTTACCCTAACTGCTTCATGATTTGTATACCATTTCTATTACATTAATAATCTTCACACTTTTGCTTAAATTTCAAAACGAAAAGAAAGGCTTCGAATCGGTGTATTCCACAATCGAGATTGTTTAAAGTTCAGACGCACCATTCCTTAACAAGCCCTCTTTACCACCGCCTTCCACCCTGCTTACTTAATTTTATCACTTATTAAATTTCTAAATAATTTACCTCTAACACTAACCATATATTTACATCATTATCGCATTCCTTATTGTGTACATCTAGTAACTTCAATCCCATGAAAATGTAGGTCAATTTCATTTCGATATGAAGTAAAATACCTTATTTAAATAAATTCCAATCTAAGCCATCATCTACATAAATTAAAGGATGATACCAGTCTTAATCTTAAAGAAAATGTTCAAAAGAAATTAAGACCACGGATTTGATTTTGTTTTAGACATTCTTCATGGCCACAGTTCAGCACCAGACCTCGCTACATGTCATGTCACTGATGTCATCGTATTAGGTAATAAAAAATGACAAGTGAACACCAACCTAGAAATAAAATAATAATATATTGATAAGTGTCACAATACACTCGTCTGAATGTATATAAATGCTCACAAATCATTACATCATTTCATCAATTTATGGTATTGTTTTTTTTTAGTTTTCGGTATGAAAACACGTAGTGTTCATTGACGCATGCCTAGCTTAATTATTTCAGTTTCATTTATTTTTCCCTTGTATCTATATATCTTATCTAACCATCAGGCACCGTTTGAAATCGTTTTGATTACAGATACGACCTAAAAGAATTATTTGATTTCATAGCAACCTAAATAGCCCAATCGTACCATCTATAGCATTAAAAAATTATTGTATTTTTTGCTTCGTATTTTTTTTTTTTTTTTTTTTTTTCAAGATGTCAGATACCATGGTTTTTATGAAAAGTAAAACAAACTATTTTCATTAAATAAATGCAGATTTTGCCTTTAGCTTGCTTTGCATCCTAGACATGAGTAGACAGGAAATAAAATCATAGTTCAACATTGTTTTATCATACAGACGTTTTACATATATGATTTACCTGCAGAAGATCCAGCTCGGGGGTTGGCAGCATTGGACGACCAACTGTCACAGGAAGTTGTCCAGTACGGCTTCCCACCACCAGGGGTGCCAAACTCACTTCCGGAGGAACTCGAAGTCACCTTATAGCACTAACAATCTCTTGAAAGAAAACCTAATTTAATTATCAGACACGCTTAAGAAATGTCACAAGAAACCTTTTCTTTAGCTCTGTGCTTAATATTGTAAAACACGTTAAACAGAGGTTCAATCCCAGTCGAGACACAGGCTTCAGACCAGCAAGGCTATTGAGTTATGCACACATTTAGATTGACAAATTAATAATTCATTTACTCAAATAATATCGACAAAACAATCATCATAATCCACAGTTAGAAGACAAAATTTCATTTTATTGTTAACTTTATCAAAGAAAAGTTTCATCAATTTTTACGTTGTTGTAAAAAATTCTTTAAAAACTTAATTTTTTCATTACATTAGAATCGCACAAAAATAATTTCACGAACTTCTAAGATCATTGAAACTAATCAAAATAGTTCAGTAAGAAGCAACGAACCTTGTCGCTATTTTATTATAGCTCTCGTCATGCATGACTAGGACTCAGAAAAAAAGCTCAAAATCTGAAAATGATATTGTAAATATTTTTATACGTTTTATCTAAAGAGTACCTATGTATTGTAAAATAAAATATTTTCTTGATTGTTACTTGTTTTGCTCCCTAGCCCTTGGAGATGGTTATTTAACCTAAATACTTCCTTTCTTTTTGCTTATGTTATTTTATATCCACTACTTAATGAGTGGATGGATCCATACAAATGAGTCAATCCTTTGGAATATTTATAATACATAGTCCATAGCATTTTTTACGAATATTTAATACTTGAATACAAGGACTTTGAAGAGTCTACTATTTTCATTATATTATTTTTTTTTAATACATACAACATAAAATTTAAGATTATTTTCTTTCTTAGATAATATTGGTAGACATTAATTGTATATTATATTCAGTCAAAATCACAAATTAGTCAAGGGAAATATAGTGGGCTAAAAAAAAAGAAAAAAAAGGAATAAAGGAAATAAAGGTGGAAATAAATAAATGAATAAGGAAATAAAGGTTAGAGTAATAAATCATTGCTAAAACAGGACGAGGAAATTACATAAATAGACAACAGTTAAAAGGTACATTTTTTAACGAAAAACATGCTATCATTTTTACATAATATCCAATGTTGATACTTCAATCCGAATTCTCTGATATTAAATATAATTTTAAAAATCTAACGTTACGTTGAAAGTAAAATAAGCTGACACCAGCTGACATAAGAATAACCACCAGCTGAAATGGTTCGTTGAAAGTGAAATAACAAAAACATACAATTAATTATTCCGTACCTAAGGCTAATAAAACGCTATACACAAAAATATATTTCGTATATATTAACCTTTTGAACAGAACGCTAATATTTTGTGGTAGATTTGGATCCATTCCAATAGTCGTGGAAGCCAAATGACTGAAGTCTTGGCAGAATTTATCTCCGCCCATTAATGATCAATATGTGTAGGTGATCAGTTGCTTTTAACCATTTCCCTTATTGTGACGTAATGAAGTTTAAAAAATTACGAAAATAAAGGTAATGGATCGGTTTATTTCACAATCAAGATTATACATTGGAAATTCAGACGCAGAATTTACTTAAAATCCTGTCTTTACCAACTATTGCCTAGTTGCTAACCTCGTTACCTCAATAATCACTTTGGAAACCTATTCTTATTAAGATACTTTAGAGCGAGTAAAATTAAAAACAAAAGCAATTTTAGAAGAATACGATCAACTTTGCAATGCCGAATAGCTAATTTCTTAATTTTGAACTAATTAATTATTATTTTTATGGTAATTGTCGTACTCTAATATTATACTTGGGTTAAGAAAAGTCTACACTTTTTTAATATTTATTGCTAAACCCTGTATCTATAGTAAAAGGAAAAATGTATAACACAAGGCATAAGAGTAGAAGTTACCTTGTACCTTTCCACAATAGGTTATCCAAAAACCTATTGAATAAATTAAGATCGGTACGACTTGCGAATTTGCCAAACAATAGTTCTATTAACAGTAATTATTGACTTTGGCTTACCTGGCGTCAAAACACTATGTGTTGGTGTTGTTTGGTTTATACAGTTAGATTGTTCCCACGCGTGGTGTTTGTTAGGAAATTATATTATTAAATTTAGCTTGGCTTTGTCAAAACCAAGGAAGTGGTAAAAAGGTCAAAGTAAACTGTTATTATTAAGGCAATTAGTCTATTATTTTAAGTAGTCAAAGTTAATACTCTAGATCGGGACAACCAATAAGTTTTAGGATGCCTATAGTTTAATTAGGACCATGAGGAAACTACATACAATCTTTTTTGTTATGCTTGACATATCTTTAAAACTATTGATTGCCTATCAGCCGCATTTTTTTTCTATTTGATGAACATTTTAATTGAAATTACAACTTTCATTCTTGATCTGCGAGTTTTGGAATCCAATAATAAAACAAACTTTTAAGCAAAGGTGAAACATAGGCCTTTTGTTATTATAGCGACGACAAATACCAGGCACTACGAGAACTAGACAACATAAAGCAGCACTAGAACTGAAACATCAACATATTATACGCAAAGTTGAATTTTATCATAAACGTAGCTCTTTTGCTTGCTTCGTACTGAGACATTTTAATGCATTGCAAAAAATGTTGGCCCTTACAATTACAATTTACAACGTACAACCAAATATAAATTAGGAAAATTAGATTGGGTCAAGATTTCATTTATTAAGGTTTTGTGGCTTTTTAATCTAAAAATCCACATCTAAATATAAACTGTTTAATTTTTGTACCCTGTTTCATTGTAATTGGGCTCAGCATGTTAAAATATTTAACTTGGTAGCAAACATATTTTGCATTAAAATGTGGTTACTAAAACGATACATGTGAGAACTACTGAATCCAATTTGTATAAATCTTGTGAATGACGGTAATCCATCAATGTCCATCAATAAGCCAATCGATCATGCCTGGAAGTGGCCCCCACTCTAGTGTTAATGAGTTGTATGGTTAACACACAAATTGTATACCTTAATCGTTCCTTACAACTCATTATTTAGCAGCCAGTACTCGTTCTTTATTTGTTCAAAAGTATTGAACAGGAACACTTATATAATGATACATAATATGGTTTGTGTAACATTTGCTTTTTAGCGAATTCCAATTTTGGAATAGGTTATTACCGTAGGTCTCATGGTAAGGCCTGGACCCAGGACCGATTTACTTTTTTGTTTTGATGCCCCCAAAGGCCAAAAATACCATCCGTTCAAAATAATAAATTAATTATTAAATTCGTATTGATTAAATTTGGCAAAAACATGTAAACCTATGTTTATTCGAACGAGTTTGGTTACCAATAACGGCAGGATCATGGGACGGGGTTTTTTGGGTAAAAATTGGGTTTACTCTTTCTTGACCCTGTAAAATTTCTTAATTTTTCTCCATACCTTTTTGAAGAGCTTAAAAAAATAGTTGAGAACATTAAAGTGTTTTTGTATGGTTATTGGTTAAGGATAAACCTAAAATATAGTACATTTAAAATTCATATGTTATTCTTATGAGCAATAAGTAAACTGTTGTAGACTGCTATTTAAAGAATATATTTATATCAAACTTGGCAAATCTGTTTATTTTTTGCAAACTATCAATATTTTACTTAAAAACACACTTTGCTACCATATCTGTATCAGCAAACCTAGGTATTCCTTAAACTTAATGTTATTGAAATAGACTTAATTGAAAATCAAATCAGTCAAACGGAAAATCGCTTAGTCTGCAGGTTTGCTGCGGCGGAGGGTATTTATAATTACTATCGAATATGAATCAATTGTATTGTCCCATATATCTTAAAGTGAATTGGATAGCCATAAATTTTCTTTTTTGGTAATTAATAAAACATAAATAACTCCAAACTTTGAATCTTTAAGTAAATCAAAAATCTTATTTTACATTGGATTACATTATTTCAGACTTAACCCACATGTAATATTTGGAAGAAATATAGGTTTCAGTTACCCAAACAGTTTAATTTTAACAAGTATACATTTAATATTTTCCTCAATAAAGGTTCCTCAATTGGGTTCAACAATGACGTTATGAGCATGTCATTTATCACAGAAGGGATTATATAAGCTTTACATTATAGATCAACACATGTTTGTCATACCAAATATTTTAATTTAAAGCTATATTTCCTGCTAAGAGTTGTGAATAACCTATATATTTATAATTGAACTGACTGAGTATAAAAAGTATAGTTTTAGGAAAGTATATTTTGATTTTACGATGGATTATTGTGTGTTTTTACTTGTAGTTTTTTTCCGATCAATTTTTAATATATTTTTTTATCAAAAGCAACTTCAAAGGGAAGTAGCCCATAACAAAAAGACATACTTTCTATTCATACAAAAAGTATACCTATAAAAGGTAAGGATTTTACCTGTTCGCCCAGAGTAATCTCCCTCCCAAGAAGCTTGACCTTGACAGTTATAAAACCTAGTGTGGTCTTGATCATAGATCGCACCTCTAAGAATTCATACTATTTTGACTGTAGGATCAAACCGAATTATTTGTTAACGTACCTTTCTTTCAGCATGTGTAAAATCCTGTTTTAAAAGGATACTAGTGTACACGTTGCTCGAATTCGAGCAATTGCAAAGTATTACAGGAGTTATTTCAACACGAATAACAGTCATATTTACAATGAGTTCAAAAGAGTCAACTCAAACATTACCGGTCGGTGTGTAACACAGACCATGTTTATCTTCGTTATTGATAAACCTAAAGCATTCCGGCCTATTTTCTCCTTCTCAAAATGCCTCGCTGTACAGGCAACACAGGTCATTGATAGAGGGCCAATTGAGAATAAAAAGTCGTTTTGGGGTAGTGTTAGGGCGCATTTATAACTTAATAGTTGAGATTGTCCAGGGTCAGGTGCGGACTTGATGAGTTAAGCCTATTTCACGCCACTGTTCTGTAGCTACGGTCGTTATCACGATTACGCCTCCTGTCTATGTTTCGTTGTCGTCACGTCGTAGGCATTTAAAAGAAAAAAACAACAATTAAACACATTATAGCTACACAAAACAACGATAAATGCACAAATTTGATATACAACCATACTAACACGATCCGTCTTGGGGGTTACGTTTACACAAACTCAAATACTGTAGTAAATAAATGTACTCAATGCGTTTCATTGAATTGAAAAATAAATAACAGCAATTAAATTATACAGCTGATCAAAATGTAAACAATTGTGTTCTCCAAGGATAACATGGGAACTTTCAAAGCCAATGGGGCAGAGTCCAAGGGACTTTTTCAAAAATGTAAGGCCAGTTTGCAAATCTACGCGACACGCTCTTTCCAATGAGACGTCAACGGATAAAATCGGTGAAGAAATGGCGGAGGAGTTCAACCGACAAAGTTTCATGTAGCGTATTAATTATATAGACGGGCACAGCTGTTGTAAAAATATGCTTTCAGCAATTTCATTAACAACATTGCAATGCCGGCTACTTACTATAAATCACAGTATGTACATTTCCATACTGAAATGACATTTATAAATATATTTTTACTATCTACTATTTATAATATGCTAAGTTTATTCGTT